CAACTAAAATGTGAGTTCACTAGAGCTCATTGAAGACTAGGGAATTTCCTTATAAGCCAAGGCCATTTTCATCTTATTAACATTCCCATGTGTTCCAGGAACCTTAGGATTATCTGGGTTCTGCATTTCCCCCATGCACCTTCTAGGCTGACTGCCCTTTACTCCCACAGGCCATAGGGTTCTCCTGTCCCAATAACAGAAGTGTCAGATCCTCATCTACCCCTGCAAGAGCCACAATGACAGAGAAAAAAAGCTTAGCAAAAGCATGTAGTCATGAAGACTAAAGACACCAGCAGAGAAATGCATAGCACCTGGTCCATTGACCTAAAACTTGATCAATTTAGAATGCAGCATTCTTTTATGAGTTAATTCTGTAGTTAAATTTATAACCCAGGCCCCTGAGAAGAGCAAAGAAAGAAAAATGGCACTTCCACTCTGAAGGTTCATCCACTACTTCTATTCCTGGTCAGGCACAGTGTCTGTGTAACAGAGGCACTTCTCCCTCCTTTCCTTCCCCCCCCCCCTTTTTTTTTAAGCAAATTCACAAGCTGTGCCATAGGGCATATTTGTTGAACTGTGGCTGGGGAATCTCCAGCAAGAATCATGAGGCAGAACAATTTCAAGCTTTACTTGGCATTGCTCTTATAGGCTGGAAAGACCTCCAATCCTTTGCAGGGGCTGGGACTTGGCTCTCCATCATTATCAAGGCTTTGTAGCACAGTACCGAAGTTGTTGAAAGGCACCATGGAGAACATGTTTTATTGTGCTTGGCTTTCTAACCCCAGGTCTGAAAAGTTATACTCTATTAGACCTTCATGGGGGTCAGAGTGCTATGGCAATGGCCAATGCCAACTCCTTCCCAGGTGACCTGAAAATTTTGTCTCTGAATTTGATTCGAAACCTTTCTCTGCCTTATAATCACATTTTTATCTTTATTTTGGTCAGTATATTCACTATCATGCTCCTTTTATCCCTGCACAGATGACCTCAGTACCCTCAAGAATACAAAACCATAGTTAGATCATGTTGCTCATTCACATAGGCTCTTAGAATACCTTTGTGGATCAGAATCCTAGGTTCACATTCTGAGTTTGCATTATTTTGCTCCTAGACTGATACCTTGATGGAGAAAGTAGACCAGGCATTCAAGTAGTAGGCTTTCGAGAACTTTAGCAGGGTTACTAAAGTCTCTCCACAACAAGTTTGGTTACAAATCCAGGCCTCCTACTGTAGACATTTGGATAGACTGTAACCTAAGAAGGGTCACCTTGTACATAGAAGATACCTCCAAATAGTCCTACTATTTTATATCCTAACACAGGGGAAAGGTTTAGCAGCCAGAATATAGCTATTCTCCATCTCCAAAATACCGTTCACCACACCCCCAGGAAACTTAAAGCATGAGGCTCTGCTCTGATGGTTATAATGACTGCCTTGCTAACATAGTTCTCCACTGTCTGCTGGCCTAAGCCTCAATATTCTCGGGTAAGGTCATTGATGGCCATTTCCCAGCCAGTAGTAAAACATCCTAGTCTGAGAATGGATGTGTTTCCTCTCACCATTTGTAGATGCTTAAATCACTCTGTCTGCCTTAAACCGTATGGCCCCTGTCATCCCTAAAGTGCTTTTTGCTAACATAGTTTCCATAGATTCCATAGAGTGTCATAGCACTCATTAAATAGTTCATTGCACTTGCTTATCCTACATTGTAAGTTTGGTGGGAACAAGGGCTTTCTCTCCCTCACCATTTTGTCTTCAAGTTTTAAAACCATGTCTAGCATTCAGGTATTTACTGAATAAATAAGTAAATGTGGGCATGTAAATAGGAGCTATGCCCTGTTTGCTCTTAATTGCCCGCTCCCTGATTTTGACCTCCTGTCTAACTAGACCTGTACTATCTTGTCTTTTCTACCGTACCTTGTTTCCCATGTCACTTCTGAACAATGTGATAATTTTGCCCCATCTAACGTGATTTGGGGGGGGGAAGTCAAATAATCATTGCTCTCTTCCCTGATTTTACTGAAGGCCCAGGGAGGTCAAGTGAGTTGATCAAGATTATAGAGCAAATCTATATGCCTAATGATTGCTACACTTGTCCCTTGGCAGATTTACATCTTTGGCTGGATGTGGCCAGTAAACATTATCTAGAGCCTCTTTTTTTTTTTTTTTTTTTTTTAATTTTTTTCTTGTTTATTTTTGAGAGAGAGTGTGAGTGGGGAAGGGGCGGAGAGAAGGAGACAGAGTCTGAAGCAGGCTTGAGGCTCTGAGCTGTCAGCAGAGAGCCTGACACGAGGCTCGAACTCATGAACCATGAGATCATGACCTGAGCCGAAGTCGGATGCCCAGCTGACTGAGCCACCCCGGTGTCTCTAGAAGCTTCTTTCAAGTCTTGCCCCTAATCAGGTTTCCTAAGCACCTGCAGCCAGTCTAATAACTGTTCTCCATCTCCAAAGTACCATCTTCAAAATAATCAGCTCTTGGAGAGTAATCATATGCTCCTACCCCTTGGCACCACCACTTTATTCTTGGAATAAAGAATGTTAGATGAGGTAATATCAAGCTGATTTTGAAGTCACAGCCTTGTCATATACGTAGGATGAGAGATGGGCAGAGCCTTGGGACATGCGACCATTTCAGGGAGGGAAGGGGTGAGAGGACTGTAGCTTAAAGAGGTTAAAGTTTGGGCACTTGTGTCTTTTTTTTTTTTTTTTCAACGTTTATTTATTTTTGGGACAGAGAGAGACAGAGCATGAACGGGGGAGGGGCAGAGAGAGAGGGAGACACAGAATCGGAAACAGGTTCCAGGCTCTGAGCCATCAGCCCAGAGCCTGACGCGGGGCTTGAACTCACGGACCGCGAGATCGTGACCTGGCTGAAGTCGGATGCTTAACCGACTGCGCCACCCAGGCGCCCCACTTGTGTCTTTTTTAAGTCAAGGTGGAAATGGGTAGTAGGGTAGCCAGAGAAGGATCCAGTGGGGTGGGGCAGAATAAAGATGCAAGAAAGAGGTGTGGAAAGTAGTTGCTGGATCAGGGTGGAAGGGCTTTGAGCTTGAAGTACCCCACTTCAACAAAGAGTGAAGAGAAATATTGGAGACATATTAGTGAGAAGTAGGAAGTTGTGTCCCAGGAAGAAAGCAAGGTCCCTGCAAAAATGAGGTGGGCACAGAGGGAGTTAGGGCATGAGGAGGTGGGAAGAATTTGAAATAGGAAGCAACCATCCTAGGGGATATTGGAATCTCTTGCCGGTCAGTGCAGCACTGATGGACCCAGGAATGAAGGTCCTGCTGAGGTGGGATAGCATATACTGAGACCAGGCTGCCAGGTTTGGTGACTTCCATTGTAGTATCAGTGGTCTGGGATATGAAGCAGGAATGAGTGGTGGAAGGACAGTGAAACGGGGAATCTGCCTACTAAGTGGTGTATCTGAGCAGGGCATACAGGTCAGGGAGCAAGGTCTGTGAGGGTCAAAAGCAGATAGAAGCTGAGGGCCTAGAAGGAACAGGACAGGGTGATGTGCATACAAGTAAGGGTGAGATTATATTTGGTCTGGGGAGAGGAGTAGATCAATATGTACGTTTTCTTCTGTCACTTTGAAACCTGCAAATTGATACATAAAAAATAATTCCTCTTCCATAGCTAAAGTATGGTTGTATGTTCTTAGTAGTTGGTATTTTTCTCCCCACCACTGTTAATTTCAACACTGTTTTCTCTTCCCATTTGGCTTGAACATCTGGAGGTTTCCCACCCGCTCCTGTTCTGAGGTCAGCCTTCTAACTCCTGTCATTTTGGTCTAGCTCAGTGATCCTTAGCCTTGGCTACGCACTGGACTCTGCCAACAGGTGCCTGAGCCCTACTCCACAGAATCTGATTTAATGGGCCTGAGGTTTTTTGTTTTTGTTTTCTAAGCTCCCCAGGTTGATCTTTCCAAGTGTTCTCCCAGCCAGGTGTTCTCCTAGGTGGGAGTGAGGACTCCCATTAATGTGTCACTCATGTTGGGGACAACCTCGTGAACACAGGCACACTTCTGTAGCCACAGCCATATCACAAGCATGGCTAAGCATCAGGACTCTGGAGTCAGATGCCTGGGTTCCTCTCAGTTTTGTAATCCCAGGCAAACTCTATATCATCTAGAATCCTCAGTTTCCCAATATGCTGATGAGAATAATCATAATAATGCCTGAAAAAGGGTTAAAGCAGATAATGTAATAAGCTTATTAGCACAATGCCTAGCACATAGACATACTTAACGAATATTAGGTTTTTTTGTTAACATTTTTGTTGGGATTGTGTTAGTATTGTTTCTAATATATGGTTTGTCCATAGGACCACACAAGTTAAGTTTAATTTCTTCCACACAGTATTTATTTTGTATGTATACATTGCTTAAATGAAGGAAGATTGTAAGCTATCTTGTTTTTAAATTAAAAAGCAAAAAAAGCTTTCTGACTGCAGTAACAGGCCATAGGGTTACAGTAAAAAGATGGCAGGGGTTACTTTTCTAAATATTTAGTTTCCATTTGCTTGGTAAGGAAGTAGTCACAGGTTGGCTCTGTCAGAAACTTGCAGATTTCATAAAGGGCTGAGTGTGGACTACGATTTTTCTAGAATCTCACTCTGGCAGGAACCTGCCCAATGGTAATTCAGTTATATCTTTTACTTTTTCTCAATACTATTTACGCAACACCTCTGCAATATTTATGCCATGTAGCTACTGTTTTCAGTGTTTGTAAAAAATAAACAAAAAACCTGCCCCCTTAATGCCTATCATTCTGGCAGGTCCTTAGTGGGTAGTACTACCTTTCTGATGAAAGGTATTTCATCAGCTATTTCTGATGAGCTAGCTGCCTGCCCCCACCACAAAATGATCGTTCCAGGGGTCAAAACTCTTGCTAAAAACAACATTAAACGTCTGATGGATATTAACATACTTGCATTTACAAGCAGTGAAATTTGTCGTCTTCATGTTGTTATTTATGCAGCATTAACCTTTTTCTCCAGATCATTGAGACTGAAAATATGATGGACCGAATTGTGACTGGCTTGTCTGAGTCTAGTGTCAAGGTGCGGTTAGCTGCCGTCAGGTATGAGCTTTAAATGGTCTGAATAAAAACCCTTTGCCGTGTGTTTAACCTGTTTCCTTTCCGGACCTTCACTGAGTAAGCGCAGAATCCAAATGTTACTCAAAAGTATTCTCAGGTGAACTCATACAGTGTGTAGCATCGTTTAACAGAGAAGCTAGCTTGAAAAGCCCGTGAAGCCCTGAAGTAGTTGAATTAACAATGTCTATAGATATACTTGAAGTGCATATCAGTAATTAGTGAAATGCCAAGCAGTGTGTTTGAAAAGTAAAAGTTTGAGCTTCTTTTGAAGCTAATTATGATTGTTCTTTGTAGATGTTTGCACAGTTTATCTAGATCTGTGCAGCAGCTTCGAACCAGTTTCCAGGATCATGCTGTGTGGAAACCTTTAATGAAGGTAAGAAGCAGCAAGCAGCAAGCAGCACCCATTCCCACAGAGTCTTTCGTGAGTTGAGGTAGCTGACCGCCCTCCCGGTCTAGGAGCATGGCTGATATTTGTTTAAAACATTTTGAATATTTATCTCCTCAAATCTGATGTTGTAAGCATCTCAAGGTCTGCTGAACCTGTTTCCAGGGTCAGCATCTCAAGTGTGACAGGGAAACAGGTGCCTAGTTATCTTTTCTTAAATGAAAGTTTAGTTTTTCATCTTATCTCCTTGTATGTTTGGTATTATTACACTTTAGACTTGATCCAAAGTCTTTGTAATTTTTAATTATAAGAAGGAAAGAAATCAGCTATTTAGAGATATAACTTGTTCCTAGTCTTTTGGGAATCCCTGGATATTTTTTTTACCACAGTGTTATCTTCTGCTTCTCTACACCAATATCACTTCTTTGGTCTTATAGCTTTCCCTGAGGGCCAAAAACAAAAAAGTCGTTCAGGCCAAATAAGTCTGAATCAAGACTTCAACTAGGCATCAGGTGGCTGCTGATGTCCGCCCCCCCGATATATTACAGAACCGTAGGTCAACTTGGTCTCTGGTCCACCTTTTTTTTTTTTTTTTTTTAAAGTCATCATACACCTTACATTTAATTGACAGAATTTTTTTTATTTAAGTTTTTGGTTTTTGTTTTTCAGTACCTACTATGAAAATCTCTGGGCACACTACAGACCACTCGCTCTCATCTTAAAGCTTCAGGTTACAGTAGAGACATCATTGTGGTAGAAATAGGGGAGGCTTCAGGCAGGAAACATACGAAGTGGGGCTTTGAGGGAAAAAAGGAAGGCGGGAGGATTTTCCAGAGGGAGGAACAGCATGAGCAGAAACACTATGTATGGTCCATGTAGGTAGGAAGCATAAGGATGTCTTCATACTGTGGTAGAGGGGTGGGGTATTAGCACCAGGTGAAAGAGTTGGACCAGTGCTCTCTTCAGGAAGGCTGTTTTGCAATCGGCACTCTTGTTTTTAGATGGCACCTTTTTCATAGTAGCATAATCTGGATTCATTGATTCTGTCCATTCAAGATTTTTTTTCTTTTTTTTTAATGCCTTCCTGTTTCCCAAAATAATTCCCAAATATTTCCTCTGGAGCCATTTTCTCTAATTGCTCAGCTCATATGAATCAGAAGTGGAACAACATGCTGTTTCTAGCTAGTTCTACCTGGGCAAAGGTTTGGTGAGCCATGTAGAAGGATTTCGTTCACTTGGGTACATGTGAGTGTATCAAACTACTACTTTGTTGCACAAAATGTAATACTAAAAGCTTGGAAGTAAATCATTGATTTATTTCAGATACTTTTAGGTTTCTGTTCAAAGGCTGTTTGCATGGCTATTGATTTTTTTCCCCTTTTGCTTTGCTATGTTTTCAACTATTGGTTAGCAAACTATAGAAGAATAGGCATTTGATTTTAATTAAAAATTTTATTTGTTGTCATTTTTTGTCCTTATTTTGGTGAAATTCTGTTTGGTCAGTGTTAGATGTCTGCTTCTGAATTTCAGTGTTATATCTTACACTACATTGAGTAATGCTTTTAAAATTGTCATAGAATCTATCCTGTTTTTATCATTGTTACCTCATTTGAAAATAAAACTCGATAAAAGTGCATTAATCTCTATATAACAACGAATAGTATTTTTAAAGTCAATTATTAAAGCAACTTTTTAAAGCCTTGGTAGGCACTCACTTATTTCTACCAATGATTCTAAGTAGTATAATTTTTGCAAAATGATTGCTTTGCTTTTTTTTAAATTTTTTAAAATGTTTTATTTATTCTTGAGAGAGAGAGAGAAACAGACAGAGCATGAGCGAGGGAGGGCCAGAGAGGGAGGGAGACACAGAATCCGAAGCAGACTCCAGGCTCTGAGCTGTCAGCACAGAGCCCGACGCGGGGCTCAAACTCACAAGCCTTGAGATCATGACCTGAGCCAAAGTCGGACACTCAACCCAGGCACCCCTGTTTTTATTAATTCACATTCTTTGAGCACCCCTTTTGTGCACTGCCATTCAGTTGATAGGGGCCAGGATAAATTAGACCATAGATAGATTAGTCCTTTAAGAAGCTTAAACTTGTTAATAGCAAAGGAGATTGGCATGGCTGCACAAAGAATTTGAATAGTGGGCCGTAACAAGGGTCCTAGGAAAGGTCAGAAACTAAGGCAGGAGGTGTTCAGATGGAACAGCTTCTGACTGGAAGGGCTTCAAGGGAGCTTGTGGAGTGGGGATGAGCTTAAAGAACGGGTAGGGCGTGTACCTGAGGGATATAGGAAGGGAAGGATATGGCAAGGGAAGATACATAATCTCAGAGGGGGTTGTGGCAAACACAGAGATCAGGATGCATAGTATATGAGATTTGATCTTCATCAACTAGGTAACGGTGCACAGGAGAGTTAAAATGCGGTATCTTAAAAGAACTATTTCTATTTTGTAATTCTTGCTTATTCTTGGGAACTTCAGCCTTGATTTAGCTGAAGAAAGCAGATAACATGTTTAACTCTGAATTTTTTTTTTTTTGCGATGATCCATTTCCATTTTGTATAACTAGATCTTCTAAGATTCCTTTTGGGATCATGAGTCCAATCCTGATCTGATCGCTGATGCAGAGGATTTAGTTGAAGTGGATATTCCATATAAGTGGTGGTGTTTCTGAAGCCTTCTCTCTTAGAATCTAGAAACCACAGGTTCTGATAACAGCTAATGGTGACTAACACTTGTCATTGTGCTTTGCTGTCTTCCCAGTTGAGTGGGAGTCCATGGCAGTTTGTTTACTTCATACCTGTTATAGGTGGACGATAACAGTTATGACAATAAATTAACTTTAAAAACTTGCATTTCTGTGTGCCAGTTACTGTTCTAAAATTTTTTCACATGTTAATTCTCACAACAATACCATTATCCCCACTTTACAGCCAAGGAATTAGTATACTTATTTAGTGTTGGAACTGAAGTTTGCATTCAGGAAGTCTGTGTTCTTTATTCTCATGTTGCTTCCCTTAACATTCACTGTATCACATTTAATCTTCAAAAGTCCTACGAAGGAAGTACAGTTCTCCTCAATTCAGAGACTCAGAGAGGTTAAGTAAACTTGAGCATATTTAAGTAAACTTGAGTACATCTAGTAAGTGGATTAGGGTTGGGACCAGGGCTGTGATTCCAGTGCTGAAAACCAGTCCCCACATTGCCCTAGCTGTGTCGTAGCTTGACTCATCCATCCTCTTGGTCAAACAGGTCCTTCTAGAGACAACATACATCAGAACGTTTCAGGCCCTAGGGCAACTTTGTGGTTTCATAAGTGGTCTGATGTGATGGAGTAAATGGAGCTAATTTGTCCCAAAGCCATCCTGTGGTGTTCACACTTGTCGTATAGAGCACCCCCTCCCTGACTTGTGTTTGTCTCTTTCTGTGCAGCACCTGCCATCCTGGCGGTGGGGCTGTAGCTTCTCCTGCAAGATAGGTGCAAGGGTCTTAGTCATAATTAGAGCACCGGGTAAGGTTTGACACGGTATCAAGTGGATCTTTCCTAACTCTTTCTCCGATATGAAAAGTCACGTTACAAGATAAATTGTGTTTGGTTCTCATTTGTTCTTATGATCTCACCTTCATTGTTCCAAACCATTAATAGCATCCCTTTTTTAAATTCCATAGGTTTTACAAAATGCACCAGATGAAATCCTAGTAGTAGCATCCTCCATGCTATGTAATCTTCTTCTTGAATTTTCTCCAAGCAAAGAGGTTAGTATCAATTTCTCTTCCTAGGCTTTGCCCAGTCTAGAGCTTAGTCAAATAATTTTCACAGCAGTTAACTGAAATTGCAGGATTGGGGTTTAAAAACTACTTCTGAATTGTTTGATGAGGGGTGTGCATGCAAATTAAATCATTTTTCAAAATACGGTTTTAATTTCCTATTCTCCCTTTTCTGTCTGGCATATGAAGCTCATTTAAAAGATATTGTAGCTTACAGTTAACCTAAACTGCCCACAACTGCAAATGTAAGGAATAATTACAAAAGTAATAGACTATTTTCAAACTGTATATACTAAAGAATAAATGAAGACTCAATTTTATAAACCAGGATTGGAAATCGTTTCAAGGAAATAACTGCTGCCATTGGAAAATCATCTTTTTAATGTTTAATGTTAATGGTAGTTGTTTGGGGAGGGATTGCAAGTGGGAATATTTTTTCCCTTTTATACATTTTACAAATTACATGTGTATGTATTGTTTTTAGACTAGGGAAAACTAAAATAAGCTTTAATAAAGGAGGGAAGGAGCCTTATAAAGTTAGTTTTATTATGTGAAAATATCTCTGGTCTGCTCAGTTGCGAGCCAAGGGTTAGCCACTACCCTTTATTTAGTAGTTCCATTTTTGTTGAGTTTCTTTTTGGCATTGCAATACCTGTAGGCTTTTGACTATAATTAGGAAGGCATTTAGTAACAAGGTGGAGGTTCAGAGACAGTTATTCAGCCAGCAGAAATCTTGGAACAAATGGGGAGAGACTGGGAGTTATTCTGAAGGAAGAGAAAGTCTAGACAGGATGCCATAGTTTCCATCTGTTTTTCTCTGCCCTGGTCCTGGGGTTCTTGGCATGATGATGATCTGATTGCAGTCAGTACAATACCATTTATCATCCCAAACAGCTCTTCTGTTGCCTCAGATCTACCTTCCAAATATATAGTCAGGGTCTGGTTAGAAGTGAGGTAGATGAGCTCAGGCATAGGATCATTAATGTGATTGATTTTTTTTTTTTTAATTAAAGAAAAATTTTAAGTTTATTTATTTTGAGAAAAGGAGCGTGCATGCACATGTGCACAAGCGGGGGAGGGGCAGAGAAAGATGGAGCGAGGGAATCCCATTCAGGCTCCGCCCTATCACTGTGTAACAGGGCACGAACTTAGGAACCGTGAGGTCATGACCTGAGCCAAAATCAAGAGTAGATGCTTAACAACTGAGCCTCTCAGGTGCCCCCATTTTTTTAATATTAAAAATAAACTGGACCCTGAACTGCAAGGGAAGGAAATGCTATAAAAGCATTTATTAGGCTAGTTGACAAAATTGACACACAGACTATAGATTTGATAAAAGTATTGTTTTAACGTTAATTTCTCTGAATTTGGTAACTGCTCTGTAGTTATCTAAGAGAACATCTTAGTACTTAGGAAATACATATTGAAGTATGAGGGGTATATGCTCTACTTTCAAATTGTTCGGAAGAAGGTAAATGTGGATATGGGCATACAGAAGGAGAGAGAGAATAATACAGCAAACACAGCAAAATGTTAAAAATTGTTGAATCTGGGAAAAGAATAAGTGGAAGTACCTTATACTATTCTTGCCGCTTTATGAGTTTGAAGTTACTTCCAAATAAAAAACAAAACAGGAGGTGGGGAGATGGGCAAAATGGATGAAAGGGAATTGGGAGACACAGGCTTCTAGTTGTGGAACGAGTAAGTCTCAGGAGTGACAGGTATTGTAATAGCATCATATGGTGATGGGCTGTACACATAGCATAATGTATATATAAACTTGTTGAATCACTGTTGTACAACTGAAACAATGTAATATTTTGTGTCCATCATACTCAAAAAAGGTTTCAAAAAGAACAAAACCAATTTGTACAAGTGGAGGAATATGTACCCTTTTCCAAAAGTTTTTGAAAAGCACTGCCCTTTTTTTCCCCTGTGTAAGTCTGAATTGCTTAAGACAGTTCTGGAACCCACTTGAAAGGTAGCCTTTTAATCATTCTTCAGTGACAGTAGATCTTTCTTCTAAGGTGTGAATTTTTTTTTTTTTTTAGAAATTATTAAACCTGTTTTCAGCCAAGGATCCTAATAAATAAAGTATGCTATGTTAGATGTAAAACGTGGCATGATTATCAAAGTATGTGGCAGTTTTGTTCGTACCATTCTTAGGTAGTCCTGACAGTAGTTCTAAAAGATGGGTTCTGCGGCATGTTTGGAATAACACTGACAATCTGGAAAGAAGAGTTTGGTTATGTAAGTTCCGTCTAAGCCACCATGTTGTCATAGTCCCAGCAGGTTAAGAACACGTGGGATACACGTGTGCAGCAGGCAGGGAGTGAGCATCTCAAATGACGGTGAGCATGAGAATGTGGAATTAGATAGTGGAATCATAAGGTCATGTGTGGAATGTACAGAAATTAAGACAACTCCGGAGTCTTTCAGAACTACATAGAAAAGAGAAATGACTGGGACTATTTTTAGTGTTGGAATTATTAAGAGAAGAACTGTTCTTGCCCTTCTCAAGGTAATTTTTGTATCCTTGTGAAAGTCGCTTGGAGTTGGGTGAGAGTAGGAAAGAAACCATAGACAGAGTGCCAGGGTATATATACATTCAGTCGCAAACCTGACTTTAAAACTGCATTTTTCCTTTCCAATCATAGCCAATTTTAGAATCCGGAGCTGTGGAACTACTTTGTGGATTAACCCAAAGTGAAAATCCCGCTTTGCGAGTGAATGGAATTTGGGCTTTAATGGTATGTTTCGTTCTTTTATATATGTCATCATTTACAAAGAGAATGGAGCTGTTCTCAAAGTAAAAACTAAAGAATGTGTACTTTGAAATGTCTGCAATCTGCTTTTTAAAAAATGGTATTTTGGCCCAGTTTTCTAATGACCGAGGACCTGGAAGACTGAGTAGTCAACTTTCAGATTTGAATATAACAAGTTGCACGTCCACTGGGTGCCACAGTTCTCCCATTTTATTATTAAGGAGAGTGGATACATGTTGAAACTGGACATCAAACATGGAGAAAGCCAATTTTCCTTATCATGAATATATTGGTACCTGCCTTAAGCTACCTGCTTTACAAAGCCCTTTCATGTGTCCTTTGCTCTTTATAACAACTCTGAAATAAGATAAGCCAGGAGTATTCATATTTCACAGACAAGTAAACTCAAGCACAGAGTGATTGAGTAACTTGCCCAGTGTAACAGAACAATGCATAAGTGCTTAATAATTTCTTAACAACTTCTAGTAAATAATTTGTGATAATCTAAATTATAAAACTTTGTAACTATGAAGTCAATAACCATTTTTCCTTAAGATTTACTAAAATAAAATTTATTGAAATTGAAAATGAAAATCCTACACGGATTTCTTCAAATATAATTATTGTAGTTACAATTTAGTTACTATGCATCAGACACTAAGCACTGTGTTTTATCTCTAATTCTTGTTTTGAGTTATATTGGTTTATATCCACTTGATAATTGGGAAACTGGGACTTGGAGGGTAAATGAATCATCAGGTTGTCACAAGTAATAAGTGATGACAAAAGGTTCTGAACCTGTTTCAGACTCATTCTTCTTCCTGTTCCATGTATATCTGCTGTTTTTTCAGACAAACTTTGTGATAGAAATAATCATCTTCTAAGCAAACACCGAATCCAGTAGTTTCGGGTATTTTTCTCTTAAACTTTGCATCAGCTGTTAGCACTTTTCTTTCTTGAGACTCTTTCCCAGGAGTTAGCTTTGTTTTTTTTTGTTTTTTTTTTTTAAACCTCACTTTCTTCCCAGCCACCTTTTTAACCTCTTTCTCAGGGAATGTTTCCCCAGTTTCAGTACCCAGGTTCCAATTCCCTTTACACTTGAGTTTCAGGGACTTCACCTACTCTCATGGTTTCACCGCCCCCTAATAGAAGTTACTTTGAAATATATATACCCAAACAAAATTGTCCCTTGTTTCCCAGGTCTATCACTTAAATGGCCTGTGAGACTTCATTTGTGGCCTCCCTGACAGGTACAATTTACTGTTGAAAATTGAACTTATCCCACTCCTCATCCATATTAACTATCTTATTTTCCTTAGTCGCCGTATAACCAGCTGCTGCTTTCTTCTCTGCCCACCAAATATCAAATCCTGGAATCATCTTTGGCTTGAGGCTTTCCTTTTTTTTTTTTGAGAAACAGAGTGTGAGCAGGGGAGGGTCAGAGACAGAGTGAGACACAGATTCCAAAGCAGGCTCCAGGCTCTGAGCTGTCGGCACAGAGTCTGATGCAAGGCTCAACTCACGAACCGTGAAATCATGACCTGAGCTGAAGTCTGGTGCTTAACTGATTGAGCCACCTAGGCGCCCCTGGCTTGGGTCTTTGTGACACAGCCCAGTACTCTTTTTACTCTGCCGTGCCACCTTGTGTCATTAGGTAACTTCATCTTTCGCAGGTCTTAGCTCCTTAATTAAAAATAAGTTCCTGTAGGGCAATAACCACGTATTATAATAAGTCTGTAGTTTACAAGAGATTTTTGTACCAGAAGTTGATTTACGAGTTATTTGGAATTTGCTGTGTTTTTATTTTCTTCAGATGTTTTTATAGCTTCAGGTTAAGCTGGGGTAAGCCATAATTTGTGCAGGAAGGAGAAAAAGGAGCAAAATAGACACCAGCCATCAGGAGTTGCTAGTAATTTGGATTCACCTCCTACTCCTTGAAGAGCTTCCTATATAATATAGCCCAGCCATATCAACCCTACCCTAGTACTGTGAATATACTAGGTGTTTCAGGACTGGTAAAGTTAACAAAATCCACTACTAACTTGAACCCATAATATGGAAGTCCTTTTTAGTTATTCTCAAAATGGGTGGCACAGTATAGTTATTAGCAGTAATTTTGTTATTGAAGTGCACAGAAGGCAATTTGATAACCAGAAAGATTTCTCAAAGTAACCAAGCTCAGGGGTGCCTGGGTGGCTCAGTCAGTTGAGAATCTGACTTGGGCTCAGGTCATGACTCACAGTTCGTGAGTTTAAGCCTCACATCAAGCTCTCTCTGCTGTTAGTGCAGAGCCCACTTCAGATCCTCTGTCCCCCTCTCTCTGCCCCTTCCCTACTTGCACTCTCTCTCTCAAAAATAAATTTAAAAAATAAAAATTTAAAAAACAAAAGTAATCAAGCTCATAGATACAGATAATAGATTGGTGGTTGCCAGAGGCAGTGGTGGGAGAAATGGGTGAACTGGTTTTTTGTTTGGGTTTTTTTCCTTTTTTAGTCTAAGTAAATTGAATAATTTTTTTAAAACTAACAGTAGATTTTGTATTTATTTGACAAATCTTAAGACACTCAAATGCCCATATCAGGAAGTGGTCATATTCCTTATACAGGTGGGTATATAGGAGTTATAGTTATTTTTCTCTTGATATAATTAATAGGTGATTAACAGGATTCAGAAACATAATGTGACTTAAATTTAAGGATTTCTGCAGCTTTTAATTTTACTTTGAAAATTATCAGAGTTACTATTAAAATATAATTTAATAAAGCAAATTATGCATGATTCTTGAAACTTCTTTAATCCTTTCAGAATATGGCATTTCAGGCTGAACAAAAAATAAAAGCAGATATTTTACGAAGCTTGAGTACTGAACAGCTCTTCCGGTTATTATCAGATTCAGATTTGAATGTGCTGATGAAGACATTGGGACTTCTTAGAAATCTCCTCTCTACTCGGCCTGTAAGTAAAATCATCCAGGTTTCCAGATGAACTACCCCTGCATATGCAGTGCGAAACGTTGCCCACCCTCACTGTTCCCATCGATATCTGCCCAGAAGTGATTCAAATGCTCCCCCTTTCCAAAGAAGTTTGAAGTTAGTATCAATATCACTTGCATAGGTGCTCTGGGAGCTGCTTTACCATAAAGCCACCTGACCCTCCACTCCTCCACTGCCTGTCCTGTCTCCCTCTCCTTACTCCATGCTAGATGTGAGCCGGCCTTGATATGTCACTTTATTCTTACTTGGTTTGCTGGCCAGAGTGGGTTTTCTCATCTGCCTAAATCACTTACCTCTGGGGCCTCTGTTTCTTTCCCTTTAAAGAATCCTTCTCAGTGCTATTCCATAGATAGCTCCTCACCCTGCCAACATTTACTGGATTGACCTCTGAAGATGTCAGCATGGGGAACAGTGGGTATATGTCAAAGCAGGAGAGGCTGAGCCTTGTGGGGTCCCTCTCCTTGTTCTCTAATGTTCCATAACAGCAGTGTCAGTGACATTCAGGTAGATGAACCATGGTGGTTCCTTTGTGCCTCACTTGTTTTCTGAGCCTTATTTGTACATTTGTGCACCAGGGTGTTAGTAAATCTGTGCCATATTTTCCATGTCTCTGGCTTCTCCCCCTTCCCCATACATTTCTAAAATTCCTTTTTCTTTAATATCTTTGGGCTTGAGGATCCCCAGTGATTGCAGTCCTGTATTCTATCAGGCCAAGTCTGTGTTCTCTTTATCTTCAAGTCATCCAGAAAAATGTAAAATATATATGTATGTGTGTGTACATAATGTATATCTCTATATGTATATGTGTACACATATATAGAGAGAGGGAGAGAGAAGGCAAAATGCAGTTTTATACTATGATAAACACTATCCGTTGGTATCTAGTTCTATATGCAGTTCTCTTTCAAGCAGTTATGTATTATATTGTTTAACCTTGAGAAGCTTTCTGTTCTTTTCTATGGTGTTTTTCTCTGTTCCCCAGATAATAATTATGGGTTTTCCATTATTTTGCAGCATATAGATAAAATAATGAGTACACATGGGAAGCAAATTATGCAAGCCGTCACCCTTATTCTGGAAGGAGAGCATAACATTGAGGTCAAAGAGCAGGTATGTGTCCCCCCACCCCCTTTTATTTTCCCCTGAGGAAAATCTTCCACGTGTGAATATCAAGAAGGATCCTCATTAGGAGTCTCCTGAATATTCAGATCTGCAAAAGATAGATTGCTGAGATCAGAGGTGCTGTAGAGACCAGAAAGATTTGAGAAGAAAGATCCTCCATCACCCCTGAAACTGTCTTCAAGAATTCTTCCTCCCAGAATAGAACATTACCAGAGTCTGTAGTTTCACCCTCTGTGTCATGCACTGTGCACACTGTCCCTGTATATATAGGGATATCACCTTTGATCATCCCAGAGTGAATCCACTCTCCAGGACTCATCATTTCCAGCTTTCTATATCCACCATGCACTGAACTGAAACTCCTGTGACACCCTGATAAAAGAATCCCTTATGGTGGAGCCGTTTTTCATTTTTTTTAACTCTAATACATCCCTGTTCTTTATTCCTATCCCATACTTCTACTTTCTGTTTTGTTTCAGTACGGCAGGTTTAGGGTAGGCATAAAAATACAGAGACCCTGCATTCATCAGGGGACAGTTTGGGAATTACTTTTCTGTATTTCCTGGGATTTATTATAGGATCTTTAACATAGTGTATGTTTTCTCATAAAAAGAAAGGTCACCTACAAGCTTAAATTTCTAATACAAGATCTGAGGCAATGGTAATGTTCAACTCTCTGACATAGATGTTGGCTACATGGTGTGTTCACTTTCAAAATTCATTGAGCTGTACACTTTCATGCGTGGAGGAAACCTGCCCAAGGTCATCAGTGGAGAGTTGAACCTAGAGTCTAAGTGCAGGGCCCATGCTCCGCATTCTCTTTGTTCCTGAGTGAGAGTAATTCCTCAGGCTTCAGAACAGTCCAGGAAGTAAGAGTGGTAGAATGTGGGGGCTGTGATTGAATTTGTGAGCAAAAAAGGCAAAAATATTTGACAAAGTGATTTAAGATGGACATGGTAGCTGATTTCTCTTAAAATTCAATAATAAACAACTTTGTTTATTGATAAAAATTTAACACAGAAAAACTAATCTCATAGGCATCACTGAAATTAGGTTGAATGTGATCTATTGAACACAACAATGAAGAAGATGCATTGTTCAAAATATTCTACCTGAAGAGTCCATTTTGTCTATAAAAACGCCTCACCTAGATAGAAATCCTTTAACTTGAAAAGTGTAGCAAGACAAAAAGTTGAGGCAAGATTTGGATGAGGGCCAAAAAAAAAAAAAAAAAAAAGACCAATAACAGTAATGTGTTCTGTCAGGACTCAAATTATACTCTTCATATAGATCTTGGTGATGGTCTGGGAGTGGGTAGGTGATGATGGGAGGCTTAAACTGTCTGGTTGTTAGCTGGAAGTTTAATTCTTCTCCGACATTATCTGATAATGTCTTTTTCTTTCTTGAGGTATATTGACATCCAATAAGCTACATATATTTGAAGTGTATACTGTGATATGTTGACATAGGTATATACCATGAAGTGGTCACCACAATCAAGATAGTGAACATATCTATCACTGTCCTTCTATTGGGAGCAAGACAAGTATGTCCATTCTTCCCAGTCTTATTCAGCAGCCTCTGGAGTTGCTACCAAGTGCAATAAGGCAAGAAAAAGAAATAAAAGGCATGTAGATTGGAAAGGAAGAAATAAAACTATTCCCAGACAACATGAATGCCTTGATAGAAAATGCCATGGACTCATCAAAAAAAGTTAGAACTAATCAATGAATTAGCCAAGGCTACGAGATAGAGAAAGCTATTGTATTTTTTTTAATTTTATTTTTTTACTTTTTAAAATTTACATCCAAATTAGTTAGCATATAGTGAAACAGTGATTTCGGGAGTAGATTCCTTAATGCCCCTTACCCATTTAGCCCATCCCCCCTCCCACAACCCCTCCAACAACCCTCAGTTTGTTCTCCATATTTATGAGTCTCTTTTGTTTTGTCCCCCTCCCTGTTTTTATATTATTTTTGTTTACCTTCCCTTATATTCATCTGTTTTGTCTCTTAAAGTCCTCATATGAGTAAAGTCATATGATATTTGTCTTTCTCTGACTAATTTTGCTTAGCATAATACCCTCCAGTTCTATCCACGTAGTTGCAAATGGCAAAATTTCATTCTTTTTGATTGCCGAGTAATACTCCAGTGTGTGTGTGTGTGTGTACACATGCCACATCTTCTTTATCCATTCATCCATCGATGGACATTTGGGCTCTTTCCATAATTTGACTATTGCTGATAGTGCTGCTATAAGCATGGGGGTGCATGTGTAGTTCTATTTTTAGTTTTTTGAGGAACCTCCATACTGTTTTCCAGAGTGGCTGCACCAGCTTGCATTGACACCAACAGTGCAAAAGAGATCGTCTTTCTCTGCATCCTCGCCAACATCTTTTGTTGCCTGAGTTGTTAATGTTAGCCATTCTGACAGGTGTGAGGTGGTATCTCATTGTGGTTTTGATTTGTATTTCCCTGATGATGAGTGATGTGGAGCATTTTTTCATGTGTCTGTTGTCCATCTGGATGTCTTCTTTGGAGAAGTGTCTCTTCATGTCTTTTGCCCATATCTTCACTGGATTATTTGTTTTTTGGGTGTTGAGTTTGATAAGTTCTTTGTAGATTTTGGATACTAACCCTTTATCTGATATGTCATTTGCGAATATCTTCTCCCATTCTGTTGGTTGCCTTTTAGTTTTGCTGATTGTTTGCTTCGCTGTGCAGAAACTTTTTATTTTGATGAGGTCCCAATAGTTCATTTTTGCTTTTGTTTCCCTTGCCTCTGGAGACGTGTTGAGTAAGAAATTGCTGCGGGCAAGATGAAAGAGGTTTTTGCCTGCTTTCTCCTGGAGGATTTTGATGGCTTCCTGTCTTACATTGAGGTCTTTCATCCACTTTGAGTTTATTTTTGTGTATGGTGTAAGGAAGTGGTCCAGGTTCATTCTCCTGCATGTCGCTGTCCAGTTTTCCCAGCACCACTTGCTGAAGAGACTGTCTTTATTCCGTTCGATAGTCTTTCCTGCTTTGTCAAAGATTAGTTGCCCATACGTTTGTGGGTCCATTTCTGGGTTCTCTATTCTATTACATTGATCTGAGTGTCTGTTCTTGTACCAGTACCATACTGCCTTGATGATTACAAAAAGCTATTGTATTTTTAATATAGTGGTGTGAACAAGTAGAATTTGAAATTCTAAAAACAGTAACATTTATAGTAGCTCAGAAACCATGATATACTTATGTATAAATCTCACCAAATATGTGCAGGATCTCTATGCTGAAAACTTCAAAACACTGATAATGAAAAAAATTAAATACCTAAATAAATGGAGAGGTACACCATATTAATGTCATTATGTCTTATTCTTGACATATTTTGTTGGATTCAATTTACTGAAATTTGGTAAGAAATGCTTCACACCTATATTCATGAGAGATAATGCTGTATAGCTTGTGATGTCTTTATCTGATGTTAATATTGATATTTGATTATTGGGGAATGCTTGCCTCAGGGAATGAGGTGAAGGCATTCCCTCCTCAGTTTTTGTAAGGAATTTGTGACGAATTGGTATTCTTTCTTTCTTAAATTTTGGTGGAATATACCAGTGAAGCCATCTGGAACATTGTATTTCTTTTGTGGAAACGTGTTTAGCTAAATTCTATTTCTTTTACAGAAGGAGGAATATTCATGTTACCTATTTCTTCTTGAGTGAGCTTTGGTATTTTGCGTCCTTCAAGAATTTGTCCGTTTCATCTTTTTCAAATTTATTAACATAAAGTATTTCATAATATTCTCTTATCTTTTTAAAGTCTGTAGTATTCTTTGCATTTTGTCTCCCCTTTTGTTCTTTTAGTTGGTGATTCCTTTGTTCCTGTTCAGTCTGGCTAGAGGTTTATCAACTTAATTGATCTTTTCAGAGAAGAAGCTTTTGATTTCATTGATTTTTTTCCCCTCTATTTTCTCTATTTCAGGGGTTGGCAAACTTTTTTTTTTTTTTTTTTGGCAAACTTTTTCTACAAAGGTCAGGGTAGATATCTTAAGTTTTGCAGGTCATCCAGTCAGCTGTGCTGTTCTAGCCTGAAAGCAGCTATAGACAATATGTAAGCAAGTAGACATGGTTATTTTCCAAGAACATTCTATTGGCCAAACAGGGAGTGGGTTGGATTTGGCCAGCAGGCTATAATTTGCCAGTCCCTGCTCCATATCATTAATCTCCCGTTGTTCACACGAGTATGTGTGTGTGCCGTGTGCACATGGACATCTGTGTAGCTTTCCTCTCTGCTCCCTAGCTTCCAGGTTAAATTGTTGGGCCCAAGAACTAATTGATCCTTTTAAGACTGTTACAGTGGGGGTTGTGTGGGCTTCAAAACAGACCTGTAGCTCACTGTGCCATGCTGTCCAAGCCTGAGCATGCATGGGTGTATTCGTGCACTCCAAGAAGGGGAATCACTTGCCTATCTTGCTGAACTAGTTTATTCTGAGAAATAACTCGTGAAATCCCCCTTACATTTGTCTTAGTGGGTAAGAGAGGGGTAGGTAGTTGTTGCCTAGATAAGGCTAAAGGTGTTTGTCATTCCCTCCTCTTCCTGGGAATACCTAGGTCATGAAGCCTTTTAAGTTGTGATCCATGGTTAAGAGTCCAAACCTATTTATCCCCTTCCTGTCCCCTCAGTCCTAAGAAATTCAAGGGTATTGTGCCTGCCAAGATTGTTGACAGGCTCACATGTTCCAGCTCACTTTGAAATCTGACATCCTCCTCAGAGCATCTCACATACTTCTGGAGCATATCAGCATACTCTCAATCATGGCTTTCGTGCCCTGGAATAGACCTCAGTGCCTGCTCAAGCCTTGAATTATAAATTGCATTTTCTATGTGTCTTGTATCCCAGAAGCAAACTTTTTTTTCCTTTTTTTTTTTTCAAACCTCAGGACTCACTCCCTAATCTAAGAAGAATAAGATCACACACTCTTTATAGCTGAGTCTTTAGGCCATAGTAAGAAAACAGTCTCCTCAATTAGCTGTAATCTTCAAGCTTAATTAGCTTAAGTCTGCCAGAAGAAAGGTTAGAGTTGGAGAAAAGTATTCGACTTTAGACCCTATTCGCACTTCTCATCACTTTGAGTGGTTCTTCGCTGTGCTCCAGGACTCACTGTCACTTCCTCCATGAAGCCTTCCCTGACCATTGAAGTATCAAGCGCACGTCATGCTTTCTCGGTTCCATTTTTCCTCTGTCACATCACAGTGAGATGTAATTGTGTGATGGCTTCAAAGTCGGGTAGTGTGTGTTACTCCTGTCTCACCTGATGCCCTGCAGAGTGCACGCACATTGTAGGTGCTCAGTAAGTGTTTGTTGAATTGCAGATACTGACATTGACTGGCTCAGTATCCTTTCCACAGTTCTCTCACCTTTGCCTAACCCTTGCCTTCTGCTGGTCTGGCTGTGAGACTCCCAGCAGCTGACAGAAAGTCCCTCCACTGCCATTGTGGTGATTATCCTCAGGTTACCCTGACCTGCCAGCTGGCACAGGCTCCCTCCAGTCTCGTTAGGCCAACCTGGACTAAGCTCCTTCACACATTTTCCTTACCTTTCTGTTTCTCTAGCCAGGTTTTTAAAAGTCAAGAGATCCTAAATGCATGTCTAGTGGACAGGATCCAGGCCCTCACCCAGAAGGTGAGGTAGCTTGGAGCTTGGGAGCAGGTAGCACTTGGAGCGGGCGGGCAGGAGGGAGGTTGCAACACCTGTGACGCTCCCACCAAAGAGACCACTTTTTTGAAGGAACCTCATTGGGTTAGCAATAAGAGTTTGTTTTAGGAATGAAATTTTCAAGAAAATGATAACAGTTTTATATGAGAGCATGAACTATAAGACATGGCTGCCTTTGCCCAGTGATGGCTTATGCCCCAAAAGAAACTAATGAGATATTTGGGTTCTCTTTTGCCTAAGGTAGACTTTCCTTAGGTGTGGTTACTTCATTGGCGATGGTGTCAGGAGAGAAGAGATCAGAGTGGGACCTGTGAGCGTCTGTGTACTTCAGGTGGGAAATTGCCTGGGCTCTTGAGAGCTTGCCTCTGGGACTACAGAGCTTTCCTGATCACCAGCCCTTTGTTCTTTTCCAGACACTGTGCATCCTAGCCAACATAGCAGATGGGACAACAGCAAAAGAACTCATTATGACCAATGATGACATCCTGCAGAAAATCAAGTATTACATGGTAGGCCTTTGTCCCTTTCACTGCTCCACGGTAGCTTCATCAGAAGGCAGGGACTATAGCATTGTCAGTGCAAAACAAATGGTGCAGAGATTAAAAAAAAGAAGAGACTACTCTGTAACAGATTTAAGGAGCTCTCTTTCATCCTGAAGAAAAAGAGACTGGAAGGCCTTGAAGCTTGTGCTGTTTGGCAGTATTACAACCCATCCATCACCCCACTCCCCACCCTCGTTGTCTCCTGATTGCCTCCGTATTCAGTGAAGACTTGGGCTCTTGGATTTCCTTCAGTGCCCCGAAACCCCTGTCTTATCTCTCAAGGCTTCTGTCTGATGTGTGTGAGCTCTTAAGCCTCCAGCACCCGTGGCACTTGTTCTTTGACCTGTTTGCTTGCAAACACAATCTGCTACCTACTTCCAAACACGTCGGTCACCTATTGCCACAGCCATCCCGTGGATCTTGTCATCAGCAGAAACTGCCCATTGCCAAAATCTGACAGTCTTTTCATTCTGTCAGTGTCTCCTAACAAAACCCTAACTGTGGGTGAACCTGTCTTCTCTTTGCCTGCCTGTCAGAGTCCACAGCTGCAGAGAAAGGCATAGAACCAGGCTGATTGGTTTCATGTTAATTTCACAGTTTACAACCAACCCACCCCCACCCCCACCCCCACCATGGGTACTCAGCAGTGTCTACTACCCCTCTGTGATTCTCCAGCAAGCTGACACCTCTCATGCAAAATGGGTTCTTACCTTCTTGTTCTTTAAACCTCACCTTTTCTCTCCCTCATCACTCATAGTGATGACTTCACCTTCTGTTCTATTATGAGAATAGAGGCCAGAATCCCTTAGTGGCTCCCTGTTAACACCTTGAATAACATCCGTACCCACCTTGTGATGGCCTGTGAAGTCCTGCATGATCCGACTCATCCGTATCCCCAACTCCTCTCATTTCCCTCTTTGCTTTGTTCATTACACTGACCTCCTTCTGTTCCTTAAAAAGGCCATGCGTGTTCCTTCCTACCTTGGGACGTTTGTACATGCTGGCTCTGCTCTGCCTGGAACACTTTTCTTCGCACTCTTTGGTGTGGCTTCTAACCTCTCAGATCTGAGCTCAACTGACACATCTTGTGGGCTCTTATCCATGTGGGTTATACTTTGTTACCTTCAGAGCACTTAGCTGAATTACAGTGATACATAAAAGTGTTTGTGTCCCTCACGTAAGCTCCATGAAGGCAAGAACTAGGTCAGTTTTGTGTACATTTTCGTATCTGTCACCTTGGACGATGCCTGGCCTTTAGTATGTGCTCAGTAAATATTTGTTGAATGAAGCAGTAATGCTTCAACCAGGAATTCCCTTATCTTTCCAATACCAGATCCACATAGTATCTCTAATCTTTTCAAAGTTTTTCTTGATTTCCCATATCCACCGAGGTATACCTGTTCATAGCCATCTTTGTAAAAGTATCTTCTATACACGCTAACTCCTTCTTCACCTCTAAAATTCAGTGACCTCCATGATGCCAAATCCAAAGTTTTCTCTCCTTATCTCACCTCACGTACAGCAGCCTTCAACACAGCTGACCATTTCCTCTTGGAAACATTCTTTTCTTATGTTTTCCATGACAGCATCCCTCCTTGCTTAGCCCTGGACTCTTCTTTTCTCTCCTACATGATCTCCTGAGACCTGTGGTCTTTATTACACTATTACACAGTGGCATTTCCTAGGGAGCTTTCAAAGATTGTAGCCTTGTCCCTTTCCTTTCAAGCTTCTGATTTAATAGGTCTGGGTTGTGGCTTGGGCATCAGGGTTTTTGAAAGTTCTCCAGGTGGTTCTTATGTATAGCTGTGGTTGAAAACCCCTGGTTTAGGGGGATCTCATCCACTCCCATGGCTTTTACCATCCTCTCTATGCTTTACATTTTCCATAGTATCCAACAATATAAAATACAAACAAAGTAATGGTTACTGGCCTTCAAAAGCTATGACAACAAGCTTTCCTGATGGTGCCTGCAGCTCTGCAAACGCTTGTTCTTGATGTGGGCAGGGCGTAGAGGAGGGTCACATGGAGGGCATAGAGGAGGGTCACATGGAGGACTCATATATCCTGCCTACTCTACATCTCCATGTGCCTCTCTGATGCTTCCTGAAGGTGATGTTTAAAGATGAATTCTTGGGGCACCTGGGTGACTTGGTCGGTTAAGCATTCAACATTGACTCAGGTCATCATCTCACAGTTTGTGGGTTCGAGCCCTGTGTCTGGCTCTGTACTGACAGCTCAGAGCCTGGAGCCTGCTTTGGATTCTGTGTCCTTCTCTCTCTGCCCCTCCACCATTCACATGGTCTCTCTCTCTCTCTCTCTCTCTCTCTCTCTCTCTCTCTCTCTCTCTCAAAAAATAAACAAACATTAAAAAAAGAAAAATTGTTTTTTTTTTTAATACTCTTATTTTAGAGAGAGAGTGTGAGCGAGGGAGGGGCAGAGAGAGGGAGACACAGAATCTGAAGCAGGCTCCATACTCTGAGCTGTCAGCACAGAGCCCGACATGGGGCTCGAACCCACAAACCATGAGATCATGACCTGAGCTGAAGTCTGATGCCCAACCAACTGAGCCACCCAGATGCCCTAGAAATGAATTCTTAAATATCTCCCCTAAACCTAAGTTTCTTCTCTCCTGGTCTTTCCCATCTCAGTATAGTAGCTCTGCCCTGCTCAAACCTGGGAGCCAGTCTTGATTTCTCCAGCTCTTTCACATCATTAATCCAGTTTTTCAGCAGGTCCTGTCAGTCGTTCCCCCAAAGCAGAATTGGATTCTTTTTGCTTCTTTCTATCACCACTGCCCTCACTCTGGACCAAGCCATAGCATCTCACGCCTGATTGACTATAATAGCCTCCTGGACACCTCTGCCCAGTCACTCCAGTCCCTTCAGCCCAGGTCAGATCTTCACCATCCACTGCTTAAATCCTTCTGGAGCTTCCTCCCAACTCAGTGAAATCTGAAGTCCTTTCTCTGGCCTACAAGGGCCCACAATTTAGCCACGCCCACTTCTCTGAAAGTTGCCCCACTTTGCCTTCTCAGTATGCACAAGCTCGGTAGCTCCTTCTTACCTCAGACCTTTTCAGGAACTTTTCCTTCCTCTTGGTGCCCGTAGGCCCTTGCTCTTGGCACAACTTGTACCTTTCTATCCCTTAAGTCTCTGCTTAAACGTTGCCTCCTGTAGGGTGCCTGGGTGGCTCAGTCAGCTGAGCATTGGACTCTTGATTTCCGCTCGGGTCATGATCTCACAATTCATGGGACTGAGCCCAGCTCAGAGCCTACTTGGGATTCTCTCTCCCCCTTTCTCTGCCCCTCCTCCACTCAACACGCACCTGTGCTTTCTCCTCTCAAAATAAACATTTAAAACAAAAATCTTGCCTCCTTCAAAGAGATCTCTTCTGTGCTCTCCACCTAAATTAGATTCCCACCCCTTCACCCTGTAGTTTCCTCCATCACAATTTGTTTCCTCAAGAAATATGTATTGAATGAATGAACTTATACATCGTAAACATGTATTTTTGTACAGTATATCATTTCATTTATTCAACAAATACCCATTCAGGTGGGAGCAGATGATAAGTTTTATTATGTTTTGTCTTTGTGGAACCTGAACTGGGTATCTCTTTAAAAGTCTTGGCAGGTATGGGGTGCCTGGGTGGCTTAGTCAGTTAAGTGTCAGACTTCAGTTCAAATCATGATCTTACAATTTGTGAGTTCGAGCTCTGTGCTGGGCTATGTTCTGACAGCTCAGACACTGGAGCCTGCTTCAGGTTCTGTGTCTTCCTCTCTCTCTCTGCCCCTCCCCCATTCATGATCTGTCTCTCTTTCTCAAAAACAAACATTAAAAAAAAGAGAGAGAGTACAATTTAAAAGTCTGGACAGGTAAAAAGGGAAAAGAATCACCAGCCATAGAATTGTAGTGAAGAAAGCCACATCAACTTCCTGTCTCTGCATTGTTGAGATACAGTCCTGCATGATGAGATAAATCTCTCTGCCTTCAAAAACTGTTGAGTATATTATGCCACTGGTATTTTCCAGATATGCATTTTATTTAAATGTACTGGGGACTTTTTTCTTAATTGATCAATAGGAAAATCATCTGTAATGATTGTGTTACTATTGGGGCCTCTGTCACGTAGGAGAAAGCAGTCTATATGGGTAAATGATCCAACTTTAACAAAAGTGGTTATACTTTGAGTACATAAAGAAAAATAAGAATTGTGTTTCAGAAGATGAGGAAGCTCCTTAATAGTAGAAACATTAGATGAAGCAAGTAAAGACTCAATCAAGTATTGTGGGACATCACCCCACAAATAAGAGTAATTTACTTTTAAGAGTAAGAGTAGTACTCTTAGGAATAAGAGTATTTGGGGCACCTGGGTGGCTTAGGTGATTGAGTGTCCAACTCTTTATTTTGGCTCAGGCCATGATCTCACAGTTGGTGAGTTCATGCCCCACATCCGGCCCCACACCGATAGTGTGGAGCCTACTTGGGATTCTCTCTCCTTCCCTCTCTCTCTGCTCCTCCCCTGCTCATGCTCTCTTTCTCTCTCAAAAATAAACCTTAAAACAAAAAAAAGTAATTTGAATTAGATCATCAGTAGCCAAATACAAAAGGCACATTCATCCAATTTGTTGACCACTGGAGACCTGAAAGTTTCCTAGTGTAGATAAAAACAGAGTGATAAATTGTAAACTACCCATAGAGCCCTGGAGGTGTTTTGTTTGGCTTACCAGAGGGTTTCTAAAATCTGAATGTGAATGTCTCTTGGCAAGTCGTCTTCACTCCCCAGTTTACCAGATTTCCTACCATTCTCTGTTGTCTTAAGCCCAACCCATTCACCCACTGGAGTTTGAGAGCCCAAATTCACACTTTTAGCCTATTGGAATTGACTGTGGTATGTTACAAAAAAGTACATCGAGTAAGATTACCTCCATGTTGTTTTTTTCTTTTTCTGCATCAAATAGGGTCATTCACATGTCAAACTGCAGCTTGCTGCTATGTTTTGTATATCAAACCTCATATGGAATGAAGAGGAAGGTAAGAGATTGGTGAGATTTGTTCTGAAGAAAATTACGGGAGGGAAAGCAGCAGATGCCCCTGAGATCCTAGGTGCAGGCCTCATTCAGTGGGTTCCAAGTACCCAGCGGAGTCACCTTGGCATGAGAATCGATGGGACTAGCCTGAGTCAGCTGGACAGCTGACACTGAGCCCCCCTACCTTGGAGTCAACGCTGTAGCAGATTACAGAGGATGGGGGTGGAGGAGCCCTAGAGAAATGAGTGGGGTCCATGCCCTTGAGAAGGCTGAGGAGGAGGTTGGTGGGAGGTACTTGAAGAAGATGAGAGGTGGGCAGATGGGTCTTTGATTGTGTGCAGAGGAGGCACATGTAAGGACCCCAGGCAGATAAGCTTAATGGAGAAGTGGGTGCATTGGTGAGAAAGGAGAAATACACGACTGCTGAAGCAGCCAGTCTGGAAAGTGGACTCTGTGGATTGGAGGTTCTCCACCTTGACTGCGTATTAGAGTCACCTGAGGATTTTTGCACCAGACCAATTTAATGGGGGGGGGGGCAGATGATAGGCATAAGTATTTTAATTCTCCAGGTGATTCCAATGTCAAGCCAAGGTGGCAGACAGATGTGGAAGAACAGTGAGTCTCAATGCTGTTGGCTGCATAAGAATCACCTGGGGAACTTTTTAAAACGCAGATTTCTGGGCTATACACCAAGAGATTCTGCTTCACTGGGTATAGAGGACGTCAGTGAATGAGTGAGTCACTGCAGGCTCTTGATGGGGAGGAAAGACTCCAGGAGGAGTATTCTACTCAGCAGCCGTGTCTAGAACAAAGTGGGAGGAAGAGAAATTGAATTCAACATGTAGGCCTAGACACCAAGCACCAGGGAAACAAAACTGCCCTCAAGGAGGTCCTAGTCTAGTTGAAAGGGAGGACAGTGCAGTACGAAGTTGGAACTGCCACATGCTAACCAGGAGACTGCAGGAAGTGTTGGGAGGTCAGAGCAGGGTGAAAGAGATTAGAAGGGGGAAAACAAGACCTGTTTGAACTAGGAAGAGCCTGGCTTTACATGTCCAGAAAGAGACGAAGACGGGGCCCGATGGCAGAGGGCCTTGTGCCAGGCTGAAGAATCTGACCTTGATGCTATAGTCCTTGGAGACATTACTTGATCAGCAGAATCCAGGATGGACATAGGAAGGAGGGTCAAGGAGCAGGGAGACCAGTTTTTGAGCATCCAAGCATGAGGGGATCCAACTTCACTGGGGACCAGGGGTATGGAAGGATGGGGAGTAAAGGACCCTGGTAAGGCTCTAGATTGTTGATTGTACATCAAGGAAAGCAGATGCCTGGGTCGTGTTCCCAGTAACCTGTTAGCTTTAATCTCTTAGGTTCACAAGAACGCCAGGATAAATTACGAGACATGGGCATCGTAGATATTCTACACAAACTGAGTCAGTCACCAGATTCAAACCTTTGTGACAAGTGAGTATCAAAATAAAAGGGCCTTGCTTTGGGGTATGTTGGATTCTTTTATGAAAGGGTCTGGCTTGCTTAGTAATTCACATGGCCAAACTTAAAATCTTTTAGATTCTTGAATTCCCTTCATTAACTGTGAGCCACTGTAGGAATTTTGAGTAAGATAAATTAATAATCAGCAAATTTTTTAAAGATTCTCATCTTATTGGGAGTTAACATGAGCCTGGGCCATCTTAGTGGATATCTGGAGAGGATCCAGAAATCTCTTTAATGTCATTCTCTTGACATTAAAATAGAAAGGAAGGCCAATAATAAAAACATCCATTACCTCAAAACCTCATTGAGCCCCTGCCTTGTGTCAGCCTGGCCTGGCTGCTGGGAATACAGCAGTGTCCACTGAGGGTTTGCTGTCCTCGCAATATACTCAGAGAAGCAAGAATCATAATCAGAGATCTGTGTAACGTCAAAATAGCCGCAAATGTTCTCCCTAGCTGTATACACTCTGCCGCTCATGTTCATTCTCCACCCTCTTGGACGTGGCTCACAAGTGCTCCATGGCCTAACTCTGCCTTTCTCATTCTCTGTGCTCCCCCTGCCCTGTACTCCAGCCACACCTTCCCTGTCACAGTATCACATCTTCATGCATTTACACATTCTGTTCCATCCGATTTGCTACCCAGTCCAATCTCCGCCTAATTCCCCATTCCTTTGGCAGAGAATTTTTTTCAATAGTAACCTCTACTGGGTACTGTTTTAGGCCTTGGAGATAATAATGGTGAATAAAATTGATGAAGTCCTTGCCTTTGTGGAACTTAACATTCTAGTACAGAAGACACCACAAACAAATGAATATGTAATATGATAGCAGGTAGTGAGAGGTACTATGAGAAAAACAGCAAGGTGAAGGAATGAAGTATAAAAAAGTTTCTTTTCCTATAGATGGGCCAGTAAGGTCCTCTCTGAGGATGTGACATTTGATCAAAGATCTGGATGAAATAGTCTGCCAGGCAGATGTTCAGAAGCATAGTATTCTAACGGAGGGGACAGTGAGTGCAAGGCTGTGAGGCAGGAATGAGGTTGACATGTTCAAGAAACAACAGGGAGACCAGTGGGACTGCAGATAAATAAATGAGGGCTGGACTGGTAACAAGTGGACTCTGGGAGGCAGCAGGGAGCAAGCAAAAAGCCTTATAGGCCATCGTAGGGACTTTGGATTTTAATCAGAGTTTGATAGAAAGTCATTGGAGGGTTTTGAGCAGAAGAGACCTTACCTGACTTGAATTTGTGCAAGATTACTCTGGTGGCTGCGTAGAGAATCACCTGGGCAAGCAGGGAAGGGAGAACAGTTCAAGGCTATTGTCATGTAGGTAAGAGATGAGATGAGGGTGGCAGTGGTAGAAGTATTGAGAAGTGGTCAGATTCAGGATTTAATCTAAAGATAGAGACAACAGGATTTGCTCATGGATTTAATGTAAGATGTTAAAGAGAGGAAAGGAAAATGCCTAGAGTTTTAGCCTGAACAACAGAATAGGGCGTTGCCATTTACCAAGATAATGAGGAATACAAGAGAAATTTGGGTTGGGGTAAGGAGAATTGAGGATTCTTGTTTGGACATGCCAGACTTTGGATGCAATTAGATAGTGGTGGATTATCTAATAATACATAGGTAGGTAATGGGGCTGAGGATAAAAACTAGGATGGTATATAAAGCACTGAAGCTGAATGAAGTCACCTAAGGAGACTGAGAGGAAGACAGTAGGAGGGCTATAAGAACCATGCTGTGGGGCCCTCGAACAGTTAGGGGAAAAGAAAAAGATCCAGCAAAGGAAATGAAGGAACAACCAGTGAGGCAGACAGAGACCCAGGCACAGAAGGTATCCTGAAAGCAAGGGAAGAGAATGCCCTAACAGTGGCCATTTATCCTTGAAAACTCATATCAGGTTGTCCCCTCCTCCAAAAGGTCTTGCCTGATCCATTCTGCACCCTATGCTTTGTCAGGGGACCCCGTCTGCCAGGACCTCCCATAACACCCATAGGATATACCACACTGTCGTGGCTGTCAGCTTGCTCGTCTGTTCCACTCGAGGGAAAAGGCACTTGCTAATTGCTCCTCAAGTGAATGGCTGTGCCAGACTCTAGAGCACACAGAGCAGATGGGGCTCCTGCCTCCCTGAAGTTTGCCATCCTGTGAGTCAAAGTAGACAAATCCCCAAATAACTGCAGCTCAAGGCTGCTGCTCGGTGAGTATCACATCAAAGGCGAGTCAAAGTTAGGCACCCGTTGAAGCCTTGATTTGAGCGGTACTTTAAGGACCAGCACCCTTGCCCCCACCTCCACAGCAGTAGTATGGCTGCTGACTCAGATGATAGGCTATCAGCCCGTCTGTCCTGGCTGAGGGTCAGATCGTTCCCTGGCTTTCTTTTCTCAGGTTTGTTTAGAAACAAAAATAATTCTGCTTAAAATCGTTTCTGGGATGACCTGAAACATTAAAAGAGGCCTCACCAGCAGGCTGTACAATAGGTTTTGGCCCTGGCCTACATTGTTTAGACCAGTCTGATGCTGTTTCCCATATATGTATGGCACGTAAGTTTTCAGCAGTTTTTAAACCCCATTGAAAGAATCAAGGTCTAAGAAAAAAAAAAAATCAAGGTCTGGGCTACCTTACCTAGTCCATCTAAGGAACCATGATCTTGCCTCTAAAACATCTGTGAAAGACTTGTTAGATATTAAGAGACAGCAGAAAGATGATAAGGTACGCACTAAGGTCTAATATAACAAACATAGACAGCCCCCGAGAAAGATTCAGAAGGAGTCTGAATTGGCAGTTCTAATTTTAGTCAAAATCCTCATGTGAACATTCCCACCATGGCACAGACATCTCTCAGTGTCCTTCTATCTTTAAGGCTTTGTGATCCTTTGACTTTCAAACACTTAGAGATGAGGAGCTATTGTCGGCGAGCCCTTTCCACCTCAGGCTCAAAGGGCCTTGGGATTGTGAGGTGAGGTGGATGGTCATTAAAGGGCGGCTTGTGGCATCATTCATCAACTTGTTTCTGTAGGAAAATGACTTTGTAGAACCCAACTATTTCATAACTTGGAGACCGTGTATACAGGGCTTCCCATTTTGATGGACTGGACTGTTTGCAGTTACTATATTTATAGAGTCTTAGATAATTGTAAGAACATCCCTTAGTTTCCACTTTAAAAACTACAGGTCCCATTACTTAACCAGACACTCCATTTGTGTCGAGCTTACTGCATGCCCAGTCTACCTTGGCTTAATTTCATCAGCTAATTGTAACTAAACATTTTAGCCATTTCTTTCCATAACTTAGAAGGGGGAGACCATTGCTAAAACCTGACTTTGTAATTCCCACAATTGTAGCCTCTTGAGAAACTTTACCAAGTTCATGATTGCAGTAGTAAAGGAGGCCTACCTCAGTCCTAGCTCAAAGGAAGACACTTTAACAAGGATCAGGATGGGTGAGGCCACCGCCCACATCGTGTCTCTTCCTCTCCAACTCGCTGCCTTCTTTCCAGCCATCCCACACCGGTCTATACCAGCAGGCATGAAAAAAAGAATGAGATGAAACTGTAACCTCCTTCCTCAATTTGAAGGCATTTGAAACCATGAGTCAGCATTGGGTCATGAGCTCTAGGCCCCCCCAGGCACCTTCTAATCAGCCCCTGAATATCTTTCCCTGGGTCAGTTTTCCTCCTAGCTTCCCAGAACCCTAAGTGTACCCCCACAGTGTCCTGGAGCACTAGATAAAACCTGCATGGCAATAGGAGAAAGTAAAGAATTCCAGATACGTCCCACCTAAATGCCAGTGACCAAGGAAAAGTGTAAAATGCCCCTGAGCTGCAACAGGTGTAATGACAAGAGCAGCCCTTTCTAAGAGAACCTCAGGAAGAGGAATGCAGCCAGCCTGGGACTGAAGTTACCCACTGACCGCACATCTCTGCCCCGTGTGGTAGTCGCCCAGCTGGGCTCACCCTGCTTCCCTTTGGGGATCTACCTTTTTAGACTCCACGTTACCATCTTTGAGCCACAGGGCTTTTGCCTTCATTCCACTTCTCAGATGATGGCTAACAGGAACTTTGTGATTTCAGGGCAAAGACGGCACTGCAGCAGTACCTGGCGTGACCGGAGCACCCTGGGCACCTGCGAGCATCCCACATCCTTGTTAAAGGAAGTACAGGAACTAGCCTCATTTGATTCCTTCTATTTGCACAAGTCACCTTGGACTGCAGGGAGCTGTTTTGCAAAAGCAATTTGGTAGGCTTAGATCTCAAATTCATCTTGAGAACATTGTTTCGAGGTAGTAATTTCCTCAGAGGACTATTGTGTTTTGTTTTGTTTTGTTTTCTGAGCTACCTGGACTCTTTGTTAGAACAATCAATCATTTTCCTTTGGACCTACAATTTTTTGCCTATGCTGCAGCCACTTTGTGAGTGAGGATGAATGTGTCTCTGCACACATAGGTGTGTGTGCGTGTGTGTGCACGTGGGTCAGAATGAATGGATGTGTGTGTGTGAGGGATACCTCAAATTTTTCTTTTCTTATTTTGTGTGAAAATCTCTTTTCTACAGATTTTCCAGGGTTTAAGCATTGCTTGCTGTATAAAAAACTTTACTGAATTATATACAGTTTGAATGAAATGTTATTTTAAAAACAAAACAATTGTTAAGTGTTCCATAAAGGTTATGTTGAATTTTGGTCAGATGAATATTTGTAAGTAAAAAATATATGCATTTCTGAACCTCAACTTACATAGATTTTCTTTATAAAAAACAAAACAAACAAAAAAAAAAAAAAAAAAACAGAAAACAAAAAAAGAAAAAAGGTTGGCTGTAGTTGGCCTGAATAACAGGCATGATATATGGTGCTGTGCAAAATAGTAAGCTAGCATCTTACTGCCGTCAATATCAGCAGGTACAGAGCCTCTTTTCAGCCTAATTCAATAAGCTCTCAGGCTTCCAAGTCAGATGGACAGGGTGGAGTGGAGTGAGGCAACAAATTCACAATAGGATTTTTGAACCATCAGGGGGAAATAAGCTACTGATAGTGAAAGCCCAGCCCTGACTCTGGCATGCTACACTTGGCAGGAACTGGGCACCAAGAGCCTCTCGACTGCCCTAAATCCTGTCATCGGTGTAGCGGTATCTGGCAGGATATAGAGCCAGTCGTGGAACCTTATGCTCAAACTAAAGTAGGTCATCACTTCCTGGAAACAAAGTCTGATCACCTTGTGCTTCCTGAAACAGCATATATCACTGTGAAACTAAAGAATGCTGTACAGACTCACCTGTAGAAAGAAGCAAAGAACAGGATAGCTTAGAAAGCTGTTTTTCTCTTAGCTATACTCAGCTAATTCTACTAGTCACTCAGGACTGCTATTCAGTGTGCTTTTGTAAAATGAGATCAAAATTTGAGTAAGAGATGTGGCTGAGATTTTGTCCTGCGTGAAGCCCAAAGCACTGAAGTTTGAGCGAGGGAAAGGCACTCTCCCCAGCGGGTGGAAGATGGATTCTCTGACAGCGAGTGCTACTTCGCCCTGCTGCAGCCTTTAGTTTGGCACCTGGCTCCAGCTTCAAGGTGAACTCAACAGAGGTTGCTCTTGACTGTTTGGAGGAACAACCAGCCTTCCTTTTCCCTTTGCTAAAAGAAGTTCAGAGGCATTGTGGCCCGGAAGCGAGGTCTGTGACCCAGCCGCTTGTCATGAGTGTGTGCCACTGACAGAACCCCAAGCCTCCCAGCCACTCCTGATGGGGCTGCTCACACCGCAGCCACCCCATCACCAACCTGCACCTTCCTTGGAGGATTTAAATATGTTCGATTGCAAATGAATGTTTTTAAGTGTATTTAATGCAATTTTTCCTGTTCTCAACATGACCACCCAAGATTCAAACACAGAGATTGCCAAGTTGTTATTTTTTTCAGAACACCACCGATTTAAAAATCTGTCACAGCAGGGACTTGGGTTTTGTGCGGCCAACAGAGTGTTAATGTGAGAACGCCAGTTTAAAGAAAATCGAGTTTATTGGGAATAAAGCCTTATATAGGTCCACTCGTTGACATTTCTAGTACTGAGAAAATGTCCTTGGTTGGCATTTGTAACACGAAACACTATAGAGTTGGTAAATATAAAGAAACCAATAACGAATTGCTGAGACAATCTTGAACCCAGATAGCATTAGAAAGCTGAAAGCCCAATGAACTAACACTTTCACACTTAAACTCTGTGGATAAATCTTGCCTGTGGCTATAAACAGATGGTCAGAGAAAAAGTGCTTTACTATAATTAACTTTTCTGATTTAAATGAAGGAAAAATGTATTTATTAAAGCTGTTTGCTGCTTTATGCAGGTGCAGTGTTCAGTCGGCAAGAAAGTGGGAGGAATGGGGCGTGGTCTGTGTCTCCACCCGAGTCCTTCACTAAGCTTCTCGCTCTCTCTAATACTGCACTCTGTTTCTCCTTTTGTGCCCTGATTGTAACCCAAAATTTATGAACTAGAAAAGAATGTCCAGTTTAATAAGTTGCATTTTTTTTTCCTTAAGCACTTTATGCAGAACAATACATGTTCTTCTGGTAGTGTTTGGATAATATGATTTTAACACATGCTAATAAAAGCCAAGAAAAAAATCATGGCAACTTCTAAAAAGGAGTCTGTTTTCCAAATGTCTAGAACATTAGGAAACATTAGAAGATACTGTGTACTGGCTTTTGGAACCTATGATTCTTGGTGAGTAAGAGGCCGGGAAGTGACTGTATTTCAGAGCAGGGGCCGGTGCCCTGTGGGAGTTACAGCTACCCTACAGGGGCATCTGCAGCAAGCTGGGAACCCCTCTTCTTGCCTCCTGAAAGCAAGCAGACCCTCTACAGGTGGCCGCTCCCAGCCACCGGGACCTCCCCAGTGCTGTGTCTACTCCTTCCATCCTCTCCTCAGCCACATTTCTACTGCCACCGCCCACTGGACTCAGGTCCCGAGCTTGGCGGATGACCAGCTGTGCTCTCTCTGCAGGGATGCCCAGGTGCTCTTTACTTACTGCACGCTACTTCTTTTCCCCATCTCTAAAACATAGAGAAGCATCTCCTATCTCTTGGGCTCCCTAGAAACAGAAAGCCAAGGACATCTACCCTAGAGCTTGGTGGAGGGAGGGTGGTGAGGTGGTTGGCAGGGGAGGGAATTCCCTTGCCACAGGGCAAGCATGGAAGTGAGACCTGGGAAATGGGGGTCTGACCCCAGATTCTGATGGAGAGCCGATGGGGAGAGGTCCCGACACCTTGCCACCTGGGATAGGGGCTGGTGCTGCCCCAGTCCTGCTCCTTTGCAGATTTCTCCTGCTTCCTGGGCAGAGAAGCCTCAAGGGCCATGTCTTGGCCTATCTAGCCACCTTTCCTGCTGTCTCTGCAGCCCTTGGCTCCTGGCCTTGGCTCTGCTGAGCAGTCAGCCCTTTCACTGAGTGGAGGGCCAGAGCCAGTCCTTAGGTAGGAAGGAAGCTCTGTCTTTATTTCACGGGGCAGAGCCTGCCCTAGCGCTCATCCTGCATCCACTGGTTTGCTTCCATTGTAGGAAGCCAGGCCCAGGTCTCTGCCAAGGAGTTCCATCCTCAGTGTGGGCTGATGTTTTAGCCAGTCTCAGGAGGCTTCTCTCCTCCAACCCCACCCCCTGCCCCCATTCCTTCTGCCTTGAGCCTTCCAGACTCTGAGAAAAGAAATACTCTACCAAGTTCTAGATGGAAAGAGCACATCACCGGCTGTACCACTCTAGTGTCCCTTCCTGCCTTCCCTTCCCAGCCCCACTGACCCCAGCTATTTCCTGGGAAGGCTTAAAGGTCATCTCAGACAACAACACACATCACCCCCACAGGCTCGGTTCCCCCACCTACTCATCTCCCCCACCTGCTTTTAGAGGCTTTGGTCACACCATTTCTCATCTCTCCAGTGATGGAAGATCCTTGGCTTCCTAGCTTCCGGGGAGACTTGCTACTCATTTCCTGCAGCCTGACTCATCCTTCTGTCCGCAGTGCCAACATAATATTGGCAAAAAGAGCAATGCACCTAACAAGAGTAGTCTTCTGGGAGCTAACTGTGCATTTAAAGAACTTCAAGTCATAAGCTAAGTCTTCTGGAGAAAACCAGCAAATGAGAAGGAGATCGCTAACATTTGTCTTGGGGAGTAGACAAACACAGCCTTTTCCTCAGCAAAGCGGATGCCTGGGCATAGTGAATTTACAAATAGATCACAGAGCAAACTAGCAGGAGGGAGTGGCTATCCGTGTTAATATTCACGGAGGTAATAATAGTTAACATTCTCCTGAAAACCTCCATTGACTTTCAAGGGCACACCCATGGAAGGATGGCTAAACCAGGTGATTTAGCTAAAGCTGGAGGCAACTTGGCTCCACTGGGAGCTCTCAGACTTTAAAAATTAGGCTGTAGCCAGAGTCAGAAACCAAAGAAATGGGGGAAGGGAGCGTCAAGAAAATGAGATGAACACTGGTTCCAAATGTAACTCCCAAGCATTGTTTTATGAACACGGCCTGATTCATGGAGAACCTCAGATGGGAGGTCAGGCGGCTTTGCGGGACAGCCTCTGTGGCTTGGGCAGGCAGCGTGAAGACTAAAGCTGGTACCTGTCTGCCTCCATGTCACTATGCCTGGAAATGTTCTAACCAATCTTTTTGTACTGTTTTCAAGTTGGTAGTTATCAGCTTGAACTCTAAAGTTATTTGATCTATAAATAGATTTATTATTGGGGAAACACTGTCCTGTGTAACACATCCCCCGAGATGACACCCTGTCACACCAGGATACAATAACTGATGTCCATTTATTTTATAAAATCCCAGAAGTAGCAAAAAAAAAAAAAAAGTATATGTTCTATATACTATTTAATAAGACAGGAAAGTATATATTGTTTATTGTTCATGAGATGGCTAAACCAAATAAGTATTGGTGCAGAAAAGAGGTTCCAATTCTGGAGGTTCCCTTCTGTGCAGCTGATTGGAGTGCACAGACATTCCATCTTGTGGCCCCGTGGCCTCGCCCTGGTCACATGCTCCGGAAAAGCTGCACAGCCGTCTCAGTCCGTGTCCTCAGGGAAGCGAAGCACCTCAGTGGGGCCCACCACTCCTTCGGCCTCGTGGCCTGTGGGACGACAGATGTTTTGCAGGACTTCTGAAACCTAGCCCTGTCCCAGCCCTCTCTCCCACTCACCAGAAGAAGCAGGAAAAGGGGGTCTAACTACATCACAGAGGATGAAGTGAGGGGTCAGGGTGGAGGAAACAGCAGAGAGAGGCCCTAGTAAGTATGTTAGGGACCAGGAATTAAAAATTAGAATGAAGGGCGCCTGGCTGACTCCGTCGGTGGAGCATGTGACTCTTGATCTTGGGGGTGTGAGTTCAGGCCCCATGTTGGGTATGGACGTTGCTTAAAAATCTTGAAAATAGGAAAATGAGTTATTTGTTGAGCATTTAATATGGGTCAGGCCCCAGGCTAAGAACTTTAATATCCTTTGTCTCCTTTCATCTTCACGACAGCCCTGTGAGGAAGATTGCTATTGTGGAGATAATATTAAGGGGCTAATAATGAGTCTGTCATTATCTCCATTTCACAGATGAGGAAACTGAGGTCCAAAAAAGGTAAGTAACTTTCCCGAGGCTATTCATCTGGTAAACAGTGGAGCCAGGATCCAAACCCAGGACTGTCTTGTCTCCAGGGCCCTTGTCCCCTGACCCTTAGCAGAGAAAGTGCTGGGTAAGTTGGAAAGCACACGGTGCTCCTGACGACTGAGGAAGCCTGGCCCATTAAACAAATGAGCAGAACATCAGCACCCCAGCAAGGCTGCTTCAGAGTCCTGCTCCCAGGAGGCTGTGCACTTCTTCCCACGATGTGGTCTGGCTCAGACCCCTGGGTAATTGTCCCCTTTGCTCATCATCACCTGGCCCAGAAGTCAGGCTCATGATCTCCCAACACTGTCCGCAATCGCTCCGATGACTGTTCCCCAGCCAGGCTGCTCTCCTCCTCCCCCAGACTTGGCCCTGAGTTAAACTACTTGTTTCCAGTTACCCCCCAAAAGGACGGAGATGTGCCTGGCCCTGGACACCTAAAGGAATGTACCATGGGCTGTCTCTGAGGGTGGGTCCCTGGAGGAAAGCTGGCCCTAGCAGTGCCACTGTCACCCCAGTCCTCCTAGGAGGGGAATGGCTTTGCGTGTGTCAACCTGGGTCTGTCTGATCCGCCTAAAGCTGCACTTGGCCATGATCTCTCTACGCCCTCCACACCCAGCCTGCCCCTCTGCTGGCAGCTGCAGGGATTAAATGAGGGCTGGTGCTGGCCAGCTCCCATCCCAGACCACCTATGTTCTTACTCAGCCAGATTCAGATCTTGAGGAGACAGCGAAGATATCAAACACTTAGGTAAATATATTGGTTAAAAGTCAAACGTTTGTGTACAAGTATGTTGTTACCATTTCAGATCTGCACGCAGTCTTCTCCCAGGAATCCCACCCTCACGTCCTTTGCTTTTCCCAGGATTCTTAGCCACTGGCCCCTTCACCTCAGGCTCAAACCACAGATACCCAACTCGGCGGCAGGGGCATCCCGAGTGAGGCCTACTTCTAGTTGTGGAGTGAGGTAAGTCACATGCACTCTGGACCCCTTGGGTTTCTCACCCAGATTTGGAGGTGGAGATGACCCTGCACACTTTTCCCAAAAAGTGGGGACTGACGGATGCAAGAGTCACAGCAGGCTCAGGGCCCTTCTGTATAACGATCTACCACTCAGCAACCCTACCAAGGGTCCGGCGTGGGGTGTGTGAAACACACAGGAAGTGAGGAAGTGATACCTGGCCTCTGGCTTTGGAGCACGATTCTAGAAAGCTAGTTAAATTTTCTCAGCAGTTTCCACAAGAAACTGCAAAAGTAACTTTGCAATGAAAATATGACTCCAAAGTAAGAATGGAGCAAAAAAAAAAAAAAAAAAAAGTAATGCGGTATTAAAAAGCAACATCATTACAAAACAGATCAGGACTGCTACTGAGGTTATATAATGGGCCCTTCACCAGACAGGACCTTATTAGATTGAAGACCTGATTGCCACATAATCATCAGCACCCCCAGCTTACTTGCTGCAGATGTAATAAAGACCAAACTGCCTTGATGACTTACCCAGAGAGGCTTCTAGAACTTCATCTGAAAACTTAAAAGTGGGGAAGAGCAATGCCAGTTCTCTGTAGGCGTCGTCTCTGTCCTGGCTTCCGTGGACTGCGTTAAAGGGCATTTCTGTGCCGTACTGAGCGCGGAGACTGGGAACATTGGCAAAATGCACAAGAAACATTTGTTTCATTTGAGGAGAAGTGTTTTGCTCTCTGGCAACATGGTCACCAGCTACCAGTTAGCACGCTGCATTTTTGTGGAATGGCTTTCTCTCTTTTGGAAATGCCAAGAACAGCAGCAAGGATAGTAGCTGACATGTATTCCATTGTGATGTCTCTGCACGTTGCCAGGTGCTTCCTATACATGATCCCATTTCATTTGTGCCACAGTTCTGTGAGGGACACTCTGTCGTGATTGCCAGTTTAAGTATGCGTGAGTCATGGTGTAAGCTCAGGAGCTGCCATTTTGTTGATAGCGCCACCAGGGACTAGCACCCTGCCAAGAGCTTAATGTAGGTGTTCATAGTTAACCTGTCAGTAACCCCGAAAGATAATACTAACATTGCTAGGGCTTCCTTTGTGTCAAGCACTGTTTTGAGTACTTGATATACATGTATATACACACATATATACATATACGTATACTCTCACACACACACATACACATTCAATCCTCACATCAGTGTCTGAGGCATTGTAGCACCCATGATTGAGATGAAGAAATTGAGGCACAGAGGGATTAATGCATGACCCAAGGACGTGCTCTTAACTACAACACTGTGGCCTCCCGTGATAGGCATCGTGATCCCATTTTACAGAGGAGACAACTGAGGCTCAGAGAAAGGACTTGACTGAATATGCAGCAACCTAGGATCTGAACCCTGGGCTGTCTTACTCATCCCACATATGAATGTTCATATATGAATGTTCTGGCCCTGACAACTACGAGGTACAACTGCAGCTACTTAGTCTCTTGCTCATTTCTTTCCTGTTGGCTGGGCTTCTCTTAGCTTCAAAGACAAGAAGATGGATTTCGCATTGGCAATGCCAGGCTAAATACAGGGCCAAGGCAGCCTAGTGCAGTGTGCAGAACAGGGTGCTCAGACTCCAGGGAGCCTTAGGACACCCTGGGAGGGGAGGAGGGTAGAGGGGGTTGAGTCTGCAATGCCGACCCCTAGGTCCTGCCCAGAGTCTCTGACTTGGCAGGCTTTGGTGGGGCCCTGCAATCTGTATTTCCTGGATAAGTTGTGCGTGTGGTTCTGGGATCACACTGTGGAAACCTCTGGCTGCAGAGAGAACAGTGAAGACTGGATCAGAGGGAGAGGCCTCCTCAGGGCTGCCTCAAATGTGTAACTCTCAGGGTCTCTCCAAATATATATAAAGGGGGAATTCAGGGCTGAATAGAGGGCAGGGCTCTTGGCTTCCTTGGGTTCAGGTTTTAAGATGAACGAAAAGACCACAGCTGGTGACGTCACCTGTCAGGCTGCTCCCTCCTTGCCACATCAGGGTCACAGGGCCCCATGAGCGTTCGCCAGGCAGTGATCACATCCTCAGTGCCCTCAGTCCTGGTGAGTATCAGGAGGTGGCTCGGTCCACTGCACATGTGATGCACCAGCTTCTCAAATGCCTCCTAGCACAAGGAGAGGAAACAGTGACCTGGGTCCGGGGCCCTGGGGCCAACAGTGGGTCAGTGGGCCCATCCCTCCACAGGACAGGAGGGGTTCAGTGAGCAGCCTTGCCACCAGCCAGCATGCGCACGGAAGGCCCAGGGAGGGGTGGTGGTGATGACCAACCACACCCAGAGAACCCAGATGAAGGCAAAGGCAGGACAACCCTGGCTGCCCGGTCAACCCCGGCTGACAACCATGATGCCTCTTCCCCCCACCCCCACCAGACACACACATCTCGCCTGAGAGGGGGGCTATAGCTGAGCTAGGTTGGCCAGGCCTCCCTCTCAAGCAGGGGAGTCATAAGCAGAAGAAAGTGTTTGAATCTGAGTTGTCCAACAGCAGCACGTAAAAGTGACTGTCCATGGAACTCCACTCCTAAGGTCTTGGTCCTTCTCCCCAACACCTTCTTATTCAAGTCCTTCAGCTGTCTTCTTCAGTTCTGGGAGTTATGGAGTAGCCTTCCAGTAAATTCTTTATTTTATTACTTAAGTTAGAATCAAAATCTCTTCCTTGCAACCAAAGAACTTTAACCTGATACAGGCTATAATCATTATTCTGAGAGCAAATTCATATTCTTGTTCTTCGTAATACTCTGCTTTCTCCCAAACTAATATCAACCTATAAACATAATGTTGGAGAAAGAAAGAAATGAGATTATGTCGGATGTATGAAAGCAGATGAGCTGACCTCCCCAGCTTTGTGTTGATAGAAAAGTCGCATTTCTGCCTCTGTCATGGTTCTCTCTTCATTTGTTAGAATGTCAAAACCGGCTTCCAGGATCTGTAAAAAGACACATATATGATGAAAGGGTAAATCAAGCCCAAATTCATATCTAAATGTGCTGAGAAGCAAAAGATAATGGGAAAGGTAACATTAAAAGCGGAGACCCTCTGCCTCTTCGTATCTGTTCTAAATGGATTTAAAATGTTTAATTGTAGTTAAAGCTTCTCAGAAGCCTTCTTTTCCCACCAGCACACAGCTGTATGATGTCCGCCCCTGCTTTTCCACCGGAAGAGAGACATGAGGGTGTCTGTCGGGAAGCTTTGTCTCTCTTACCTTCATAATAATCTCATCAGTCTTTCCGTGGACCACTGCGTCTGGCTTAATGATGGCCAAGGTGCAGGTCTTCCCCCATGGCACTGCAAAAAGCCGAGGATGGTGCTCTCAGGTGCTGGGTTCACAGCAGCCATCTCTGAGGCTCTCACGGGGCCATCCGCAGGGACCATGCTGCCTCTGCACTCAGCTCCCGGGTCCCCCCACCCTCCCGGCCTCTTGACTGTGCCTCTGCACACTTGGACTCTAGTAGAGGCACAGGTCTGGCTGCAGACCTCAACCTAGCTACAAGGGACAGGAACGTGGGAGAAAGGGGGGCTGGGAGGGGGTGAGGAGGGAGGAGAGGAAGAAAGTGGGGAAGAGATCAGAGACCACTGAGGAGCAGAACCCCAGAAACAACTTAAAGAGATGGCTTGGAGTCCGAGACACCTGGAGTCGAGGTCACACAAGCCTGGCCTCCGTTGTGCCTTCCTGTCACCCTGTCCTGATTCTTAGCCTCTAAGTGCTGTCTGCTGTCTTCTCCTCTCCCTCCACTGGCCCCTTCACCAATGCTTCCTTTACCTTTGCTGGCATGTGGGCAGCAATCACTTCCCCAGGCCCTGAGTCCATGATTTTTCAGCACCAGCAAATTCTACCAAACTGCAACTACCATCTCCTCTATCTCTACAGATTCTCTTGAGAGAAGACCAGATTGGCCAGCTCGTTGTTTGGAGCCAAGGTAGCAGCCATAGTTCCATGACCAGTGTCCTAATGGCTGTCTTTTGGTCAATGTCCACAGGTCCAGTCAGCTGTGACAACAAGAGAGGTGGCATGTGATTATAGCCCCTACTCAGGCCTGCAGAAAGCTGTAGGGGAACCCCCATGTCCAGTCCATAAGCTCATCCCTACTGCACTCCTGTTTGTATGAACTTGGCCTTGGTGAGCTACCTACACTCTCCACAGACTCTGTATCCCCCAGAACCTATGTTCTGTTATTAACTTTTATATCTGTTGTATTGCAATGAAACATGATAGTATGTGCATTTGAGGAGAGCTTCCTACTCTGGAAATCACAAGAACATATACACTGCAAAGATGTGAATCATTTTAAGCCACAGATCTATCCATTTTTCTGTATTGTTTCTGATGTCCCATGTACCCTTAGTGCTCTAAGGATTCTTACAATGAATCCTTTATACATTGACCCATTAGTGAGATTCCCTAGGGGTGCAGGGTGAGAACAGAAGAGGTCAGATCAGGGCCCAGAGATGTCCAGCTTGAAAGGGGAGCAAATGAGAAAAGGCCAATGAATGGGGAGGCTGTGGAGAGGCCAGAGATGCAGAAGGAAAACGAGAAAAGTCATGACATCTCAGAAACCAAAAGAGAAGACGCTGTGAAATCATCCAAGTCCTCAGAGAGAGGCTGTAGGATATGACTGGACACCCGTCCTGGGATTTGGCACTAGGAACATCACTGGTGCCCTGTGAGCACCAGAGAGAAGCAGGAACATGGGCCATGTGAAGCGGGTCAGGCAGGAGCCAGAGGTGACGGGTGGCCCAGGGAGTAGGGAGGCTCCGGAAACTCAGGCATGGAGGAGAGGAAGGCTAAGGGCAAGGGCAGGCTTTTCTGGTATTTTCTAGGTGGAGAGACTTGATTTGAGAGGATATAATGAGAGAGGGAAGAGGAGATCATCCAAAAAAAAAGGCAACAAATGTTTCCTGCAAAACACTGATTTTTTTTCCCCACGTGAAGTTCTTTTGCTTTCCTGAACTGTGCCTCTTTCCTTGTTAGCATCCAACTCAAACAGTCCTCATTCTCCATACACGCATAAACAGCCTTTCTACTTCATGCGATGATAAAAATCTTCCTTCTCTTTCCACCTCGGTTCCTGAACTCAGCGCTGCTTTCCCCCGGAGCCCCAGTACTGTCAAGAGCTGCCTTCCAGCAACAGCCCTTCTGACTCCTGCTTTCCATTCTGTCAGGTCAAGCTGTTCTCTCATAGTAAAGGTTCGGGAATAACTGTGAGGCCCAGGAGTGTGAAATCCATGAGTTGATACTTGGTGCGAGGTTGTGGGGTGAGAAGGTGTTCGGTACAGCTGACTTTTGGACACTTTAGAAAAAAAGGTGAAAATACAAAGTGAGCTCTTTAGCTCAAATGAAGACCAAGGCAACACCAGCATCACTGCTTGAAATTCTACCCTCCATTTTAGTAGGTGGGACTTTTCCTGATGCGTGGTAATTGCCTTGAAAGTCATACTGGTTATACTTGAATGATCAGCTGAAGTCCCAAGTGGTGCTGAAGATGCCAAGAAAGGGCAGAAGGGAGATCTGACACAGTGTGTTTGAAGTCAGGTGATCGGAAACAAAATGTTTCATGGTTAATCTTCCCAGAATTCAGATTGCCCAAAACACTGATGACTGATAAGGTGGTTTTTTTTTTTTTTAAGTTTATCAATTTTGAAAGAGAAAGAGAGAGAGAGAGTACAAGGAAGGGGCAGAGAGAGAGAGAAGCCCAAGCAGGCTCCGAGTTGTCAGCGCAGAGCCCGATGCACGGCTCGAACCCACAAACTGTGGGATCATGACCTGAGCTGAAATCAAGAGTCGGACACTTAACCGACTGAGCCACCCAGGCACCCCTATTCATAAGGTTTTTTAAAACTCAGATTTAAAAATCTGAGTCTGCTTTGCCTTTTCACCTTGCTTATTGGCTCTATACTCACCCATGTCATTGTCACCACTGTCCTTGTCACAGGTGAAGCATCCATCTTCATCAGACAGAGCCTCGTCTCTAATCTAGGACAAATTGGTCACAAACAGAAAGTAGTTAGCTAATTAAAATTACCACAAAGACCTTCAGAAACCTACAGAAGCCAAAAAAGCAAAGGCCCAAAATGCAGAGCCAAAAAAAAAGGAGGTCAAGATCATCAGCCTTGGAAACTTTACAAGATCCTTTTTAGTGGCCCGATGATGGTGGGGGTGAGGGTGTTCAAAGACAAAGAAATCTATGCTGATCTTAAGGTTTAGATTCTGTCCATATCCACAAGCGCCAAGTAGAAAAGATGAAATCGAGAGTTGGCAAGAAGACGAAGGAAGAATCGACACGCAAGGAAATATTAAGCAATTGGCTGCACCATGCAAGGAAGTAGTAAAGACAGAGATCATTCTCCCTCCACAGGGAAAATGCGTGATTTTCTGGGGAAAAAATATGATTGATTCTAACCCACTCTATAAAAATAGGGGTTTGCTACTTGAATATGAAAACTTGAAAAACGAACACTAAGCTACGTTAAGGCTCGTTGGACAGCGCTCAAAGCACCAGGAAATACCTCTATCTAAGGTGGTGTTGATTTTCAAAGGCAGCCACTTATTTGTGAAAAACTTGTAGTCTGTGTTATCGTAGAAATTATCAAAATCACAAGCTATGCTGATCCTATTTCTCATGTGAATGACAGCTTAATTTCTAAACTAAAACAAACCCTCGGGGGATCACAAGTAAACCTTTCAGGAATGGGAGGTGAAGGCAGGCCACCAGGGGTGAGTCACCCTGAGGCTGACTTCTCCTATCCACTACTTGACTCCATAACTTTATTTTCATTTCTGAACTCATTGTGAGGGTTCTAGAAACCCCTGTTAAGAATTGAAGTGGGGGATGAGAGGGACATAGATAAATGAAGATCAAGTGTTTTGGAAGAAGGGGGCAGCTTTTTTAAAAGAAATCTTTCAGGGGCACCTGGGTGGCTCATTGGGTTAAGTGTCAGCTGTGCTGTCAGCTCGGAGCCTGGAGCCTGCTTTGGATTCTGTGTCTCCGTCTCTCTCTGCCCCTTCCCCACTCGTGCTCTCTCTTTCTCTCTCTCAAAAATAAGTAAAACCTTTAAGACAGTTTTTTAAAGAAGCCTTTAAAACCCATGCCAATGCTTCCCCTGAGCCCTCAAGGGCCCCCAGAGGGAGGCATTTAATGAAGCTTTCCACTGACAGCTCCAGGAGAATTAGTGGGGGAGGGAACAAAAACATGGAGTTTGCCGCTCTGGGAGTGCTCCTTACCACTTTCCGTTCGCAGCCTTCAGCCAGCACCTTCTTTTCAGCCTCCAGTTGCTCCAGGATGGTTTTCTGCAGTAGCGGGGCATTTGCTCCTCTAACCACCGCCACCAGTGCTCCGCCCTAGAACGCGGTACACACACGCTACTCAGACCACTTGACCTCGTCTGCACAGATCTCACTCTCTTCCAAGAGACTGTGAGTGTCCAGGAGTTTTGCTTAGGAGCAAGCCTAAGGTCGAGGCTGCCATCCGCTTCTCTGCCCTCTACCCCATGCCTCCTTTGAACTTCCTTCAGGGAGGGACACCTGGGCGGCTAAGCATCCGGCTCAGATCATGATCTCACAGTTCTGTTCGAGGGATCGAGCCCCACCTCAGGCTCTGCATAGGGCTCTGTACTGACAGCACGGAGTCTGCTTGGGATTCTCTGTCTCCCTCTCTCTCTGCCCCTCCCCAGCTCGGGTTGACTCCTGCACGCTATCTCAAAAATAAATAAACAACAACAAAAAAAAAGCTTCAGGAAAATGCCAGGGGAGGGGGAGAGTTAGTTAAGGGAGGAGCAGGGCACACTAGGTCGTGAGTGATGAAATGTGGCCTATACGTGGCTTGTCCACTGGACAAATGTCTACTGAGCACTTGCTATGCCAAGCACCAAGATAGAGGCAACAGATATGAACACTAAACCTGAAAAGCTTAGTTGCCTCAATGACTGGGAAGTCAAGGGGTAGAGAGGTGGTGATATCAAAGAAAAAATTACAATAGAATACGATCATTGCTTTAAGAGGGAAATGTACAGGGGGCGCCTGGGTGGCTCAGTTGGTTAAGCCACCGACTTCAGCTCAGGCCATGATCTCACAGTTTGTGAGTTTGAGCCCCGCGGGGGCTGTGTGCTGACAGCTCAGAGCCTGGAGCCTGCTTCAGATTCTGTGTCTCCCCCTCTCTCTGCCCCTCCCCTGCTCACACTCTGTGTCTGTCTCTCAATAATAAATGTTAAAAAAAAATTTAGAAAAAAGGGAAATGTACAGGATGCTTGGCATTCAGGGCAAGAAGGGATTCCCAGCTCCACCTGGGGTGGTCAGAGGAGACTTCACAGTGGAGGTGCCATTTGGGGTGACAGAAGTTCCCTGTTTTGACCTGTTTGGCAGTCTCTGCATATTACTCACAGAAGCTCGCAGAAAGTGGGCCTCCCCCATTTCCACCCTGCCCCTCAGTGGCCCTCAAGAGGGTGAGAGGTTGGAGCCTGCTGCCTTTGCACCTGTTCCCACAGTCCGATATGATTTATGATTTACACCTTAATCACTACAGGCTCAAGCAAACCCCTGTGACAGATTCCATTTCTGCACCTGTGCTCCACTGTCCCTTTGGCTCCTTCCCACTTCTCCCGCCATCCCCACCCATGTTTCAGCACATAACTGTAGTCTTCCATCAAAAATCAATGCTCAGCAGGGGTACCTGGGTGGCTCAGTCGGTTAAGCCTCCAACTCTTGGGGTCTCAGCTTAGGTCATGATCTCACTGTTGCATGAGTTTGAGCACCACATCAAGCTCTGTGCTGGCAGTGCAGAGCTTGCTTGGGATTCTCTCTCCCTCCCCCTCTCTCTCTGCCCCTCCCCTGCTTGCACTATCTCTGTCTCTCAAAATAAATAAATTTAAAATCAGTGCTCAAATAATGTTTACCATAAGCTTCCAATTTGGAATGCTTACAGCCCTGAGCACAGGAGCCCAAAGGTTTCCAAGCTAAACAACCCTGGCCTGGCTGTCAGGAGATGGGAGTGGGTCGGCCTCAGTTCCCCCAACTGTACAGGGCAGGGGCAGGAGTCAGGAGTAGCCTACCAGTCAGTTGCCTTCAGGGCCTCAGCTAGGAAGCCAGGTGTGAGGTGGTGGGCCCTGAGGGGCTTGGGGCCAGGGCACGGATGTCACACCCAAAAACATCCAAATTATTTTTGAAAACACTGAACTACTTGGCTTTCCACAATAGTCCCTTTCATTTCCGAATTTCTGTAAACATATCTTCACATCTTATGGTTACATAAAAGTGAATGTGAGGGGCGCCTGGGTGGCGCAGTCGGTTAAGCGTCCGACTTCAGCCAGGTCACGATCTCGCGGTCCGCGAGTTCGAGCCCCGCGTCAGGCTCTGGGCTGATGGCTCAGAGCCTGGAGCCTGTTTCTGATTCTGTGTCTCCCTCTCTCTCTGCCCCCCCCCCCCCCGTTCATGCTCTGTCTCTCTCTGTCCCAAAAATAAATAAACGTTGAAAAAAAAATTAAAAAAAAAAAAAGTGAATGCGGAGGTTGTCTACCCCATTAAAGGAGTATGTTTGCTGAAGGCTCCTCTCTTATAGAGCAGAGAATAGAAATCTTGAAACCCCGTGCTCTGATTGTGAAGCATCAGTCAAGAGTGTCCATGAGCCAGGAGCATACGCATTTGAGTGACTCCCGTTCTTTCCCACGTACAGCCAGTCAGGAAGGCTGCTGAGCCCGGAGTGACCATCAGGAGCTGTGTCTTCCCAGCCCCCTCCACCAACGAGCAAGGCCACCATCCTAGGCAGGGACCTGCATTACCATGACTTAAGTACATCTATCCTCACCCCAAATAACAAATGCAGTCAAGGAGAAAATGCTCACTTGTCTGGATCAGTGAAGCCACTTGGTGACTTTCAGTGAGAAGCCTCCCTCTGAACCCTAATGATCTGCACAAGTTCTGGTTCTGGTTCTGCAAATATACTCACTGCATAAAACAGAAAGGTCGGCTCACATCTCCCTCGGTATTTTTCAAGGGCATCAAGACAGTCTGCTTCTGCCTAAAGAAAACAAGCTGTCAGGAGGGCTCTGGGGTGCCAGGGATGCAAGGGCACGATGGTGGGAGAACCACACAGGACAATAGACACACAGGCACACACCCCATATATCCCCATAAACACACACACACAGGCCATGTATATATACACACATATCCCCCCCACACACACCACCCCACACATAAACACTCATATACACACACCCTTCCCTGCACTCACATACACACTATGCCCCTACCAGGTGAGGCCCTGGCTTGCTCTCATGCCTTTCCTTCTAAGGTCTTTTCATCAGAATAACTTTGCTGTCAACATATTGGTAAAACTTGTTGACGGTGTGCTTTTTTGAAGGATAAGACAAGGAGGAAGCAAGGGTTTCTCCTGCTCCCCAGCCAGCTGCTGCTCCAAACCAGGGGGCTCCACTGCCTGACATCCTACTACTGCCAGCAATGAAAGTCCCCAGACTTTGCCTTCGGTGTCTGATAAACCCTGTGCAGGGGCCTAACACTTCCCCATGCAGCCATCTCCCTCCCACACTCTCTCCAGAAGTGTCAGAAAGTCAGTGTACGTATATTTTCTCCTGCGGTCTGCCTATGCACCTCTAATCCATGCGGCATATCGATCGTCTCTTGCACACTTTTCTGGAACTTATTCCCATTTCCATACGTTCATCCAAGCGAATATTTGCTAGAAGTTCCCCATGATGGAGCAGAGCACAGAGACCTTCAAATGCCGTGCTCTGGGAATAAGACTTCAGAGTCTACAGTGTTGATGAGCCAGAAGGAACACACGTGTTGAGTGACACGGACCCCTTCCCTGTGCACAGGGTCAAGAGATGCCCAAGCCCAGAGTGATTGTCAGAAAGGCAGGGGTGGGGGTAGGAATCTTCATCTCTAGAGAAACTGTAAGCATCTATGACCGATGACCAAAAAATTCATAACCGATGCCTTTTCAATGATCTGGAAAAAGCAGCTCCTGATTCCTGTTCCTGCTTTTAAGTGTTTAATTATTTGACAGTGTTGTATGATGCTCTGCTGGGGGAGGAGCTTACTAAGGCGAAATGCAGAAGGTCCTGGCCAACCTCGATCCTCATCTTCTGGAAGAGGCTCACCACGGGTTTGCAGGGGCCACACCACCCTTGATAGACGTCAACAACTACATGGAACCAAGAAACAGGAACAATCAGTGGGCACCAGCATTCACATCAGGCAAGATTTATACCTGCAAATTCTAACTCCTCTCCAGTGGACATCTGTTTGCAGGGTTCTTTAATGGTCAAGGGATTCATTATCTTGTTAGAGTAGAAGCAAGCATGGGGACGGACAAACTGCCCCTCATTCTTACGAACTCAGTGTTTTGAATTCTAAACATGATGGAGTAAGTGTGGTAGAAAACAGTTTTCTTAATGTGGATCCTTTACCTGAAGTAATTTTCAGGCTTCTTTCAAGGTCGATCAGGCCCTCCATAAATATTTGAAGTGTACTAACACTGTATTTTTTTTTTATTTTTTTTTTTGAACGTTTATTTATTTTTGGGACAGAGAGAGAGAGAGCATGAACGGGCGAAGGGCAGAGAGAGAGGGAGACACAGAATCGGAAACAGGCTCCAGGCTCTGAGCCATCAGCCCAGAGCCCGACGCGGGGCTCGAACTCACAGACCGTGAGATCGTGACCTGGCTGAAGTCGGACGCTTAACTGACTGCGCCACCCAGGCGCCCCCTAACACTGTATTTTTTTTAAGTTCATTCACTTTGGAGAGACAGAGAGTGGGGAGGGACAGAGAGAGAATCCCAAGCAGGCTCTGCACTGTCAGCACGGAGCCTGGCGTGGGGCTTGAACCCACGAACCACAAGATCACGGTCTGAGCCAAAATCAAGAGTCGGCCCCTCAACCACCTGAGCCTCCCAGGCACCCCAAACTATTTATTCTAAAAGAAAGGTCACTGTAAGTGGCCTGTCAGCATACAAACTACTCTTAGCTGCTTTGATAATAAACACAGTTGAGACATTTTCCCCTGATGGATTAAAAGCCACTTGTTTTGGGTAAAGGAGAGTTTTATTTACTCTATAAAATCAACAGTGTTCTCCTAGAAAGTGTACCTGATAGATACCTAAGGGAAACTTGCATACTTTTTCGGTCGTTTGTCCCACCCAGTCTCTGGAGTGTGACAGGACTGGGTGTGAGGGAACCGTCTTGCCTGACTGCACTAGGCCACAGGGCCTGTAAGGAAAGCTAAGCAAGCTAAGCCAACACATGTGCACCAGATACATGCGAGACATGCCCAGCCCGATCATGACACAAAAAGTGCTAGCTTGTGTGAAGTTCAAAGAGATGAAGTAACTAGCCCAAGGTTTAAAAAAAGAATAATTAAATCTTCAAGCAGTAGAACCTAGTTTTTTCTTCCCTCCAAAATGTTTGTTTATTTATTTTGAGAGAGAGCGAGAGACAGAGGACAAGCAGGGAAGGGGCAGAGAGAGAGGGAGACAGAGAATCCCAAACAGGCTCTGTGCTGCCAGTGCAGGAGTAGAACCTAGTTTTGAACCCAGGTTTGTCTGATGCCATAGTATGTGCTCTTTCAACTACTCCAGGAAATAAACAAGATGCATGAATTCAGGAGCATCGGTTAGTTTCAGCCAAGCAGCATTGTTTTGCAGGGGAAAAGCGAGAACCAAGTTGGGTGTGGGAGGGATGAAGAAGCCAGGCTCAGAGGGGGATCTGGGGGTGGGAGGAAAGGAAGGGAGGAATCCATGAGACTTGGAAAGGGAAGGGAAAGATGGATGGTGAAAGTCACCTGGGCATGGAAAGGACTCCACCTTGGAGCCTGGCAGAGGAAAAGAACTGGGTGGTGGCAGGGAGAGATCATTTGGGGGAGGGAGAAAAGTGAACTAGATTCTAGACATGCTGGGTTTCCAGTGTGAACCAGAGAATCTAAGACCAGTGGTCCCAAAGGCAACCAGACACCAGCAGGGGCAGGAGACAGATTTGGGCCTCCTGGGCATCCAGGTGGAGGATAAGCTCTGGGTTTCTCTGAGGACAACAGCAGACAGGATTTGCACCCATGGTTCAGCTTCCCAGCTCCTCTGGCACTCCCTGGCTCTCTGGGCAGTGGTGGCAACAAAGGCACGCTTCACAAGGTTATGAGGGAGAGCAGGACTGGAGAGGAAGTATAGCAACAGTTTGAGAGACAGGAAGGAAAACAGGGAAGACATCTGGAAGGAAAGAAATGGCAGAGAAAATGCAAAGGGGTGTGTGTGTGTAAATCTGAATAGACTTGCGTGTTTGAAGGCAGATGAAAATGATCCAGCAGAAGGCAGGACTTCCAAGACAGGGGTTGATTTTGGAAGCAAATTTCTGATGGCTCTAGAAAGAAGGAAGAGCCTGATAAGAAGGGAAGGATGAGCCCCTGCTGCCTCCAGTCAGCACAATTCCCTGGCACCGCTCAGAGCAGGGCTTGACAGAGTCCACACCCAGCAGATGTCAGCTCTGATCGCATAGGGTGCCTGGAACATGGCAACTTCTTAAAGAATGATGAGAGGTAATGCTTGTTTTGCCCTAGAGCCATGTTCTGGTTGTACAGATGAGACACGCACACAAAATAGTTGAGACCTGGCACCATCGAAAAAGCTGTGTAATCCCTCAAGTAGTGGAGTGTGACAAGACTCACACATACACTGCTGGATCGATGCAATCAGCGAGATTTAGCAGCCACTCTGCACCAGGCCTGGGCAAGTCGGCTACGGACCGAGATGAAAAAGACGATGTTTAGAGATTAGGGGGAAAGCCACGCATGCTCCTCCAGACAGGGGCCACACCAAGCTGGATGTGTGCGGGAGGGTAGAGACTGAGACAGAGTCCCACCCTGGAGCCCAGGTGACTCCCAGAGGGAAGTGACCATGCAGAGGTTCTGGAAAAATTGCATGCAAGGCAGCTGCTTTGGAGCTGGGCCTGGGAATGAGGGTGATGTCTCCAGGTTGTGATGGGGCCATGGCCTTCCAGGGAGTAGGAACAACATGGATTAAAGTAAAGAAGTGGGGAGACTTGTGGCATGTTCAGGAAACAGGTGGGAGCTCAGGGCATATCTCAGGGAACAGTAGGTGAAGGGACTGGAAAGAAAAATTGAGTCATGGGAGAGGGGTGGGGGAGGGGCCTTGAATGCTGAAGTCACTTGGGGCAGGTGGTGCTGGGGACAGATGAGAGCAGAGACAAGCCGGCTGAGTGGTGTATTTATGGGGAGAAGTGAGTGGATACACAGAGAGAAGGGAGCCCAGAGGTATGCATGGTAAATGAGGAAGAGAAAGGAATAGTAGGGGCAGTTGTGGTAGGCAGCCTCTCAGATGTCACCAGGGATTCCTGCCTCCTAGGGTCTATGCCTTTGTGTAACCCCCTGCCCTTGAGTGCAGGCTGGACCTAGTGACTGGCTTCTAACAAACGGAGCAGGGCAAAGCGATGGGATGTCACTTCTGAGACTCAGTTACAAAAAGGCTATGACTTTCATAGGTCTCTCCCTCCTTTTCTCTCCCTCTTCCCCTAGGGAAGAAAGTTACTGTGTTGTAAGTAGCCTGATGGATAAACTGATAGCGAGAACTTGATGTCTCTGGCCAATAGCCAGCAGGGTCTTGAGTCCTGCCAATAGCCACGTGAATGAAGTTGGAAATGACTTTTAAAGATCTGCCAAAGCCACATGACGGAGCTTGGAAGCAAACTAGACTCTAGTTGGGCTTGACATTCTCTGTCTCACTTTTTCACTGCAGCCTGGTGGGAGAGCCCAAACCAGAGGCTAAGCAACACCTGGATTCCAAATCCACAGAAACTGTGGGATAATAAATGTTCGTTGTTTTAAGCTACTAGGCTTTGGGGTAAATTGTTGCACAGCAATAGATAACATACAGGACAACAGGGACGAGCAGGCCCAGGGACGGTGGCTCTGCTGTTTCCTAATGACTGTGCAGTCCCTGGTTCCCATCCCTTGGGAGGTCTAGCTCTCCTACCAGACCCTGAGTTCCAAGAGATTCTCACATTCCTAACCATACATTCCCCTTTGTGCCTCATGTAATCGGAAGAGGTTTTCAGGGGCACCTGGGTGGCTCAGCTGGTTAGAGCATCCAACTCTTGGTTTGGGCTCAGGTTATGATCATGGTTCGTGAGTGTGAGCTCTGCTTCAGGCTCTGCACTGATGCAGAGCCTGCTTGGGATTCTGTCTCCCTCCCTGCCCCTCCTTCACTTGCTCTCTAACTCTCTCTCAGAACAAACAAACAAACAAACATTTTTTTTTAAAAAAGGTTTTCATTCCTTAACACTAAACAGCACTTGGGTCTGACAGTCAGCTTTAAAACAAGGAAACCCTGTTTTCCGACAGTACTGACTGCTTTCCTGAACTGACAGATGATCAAGCCAGATATATATACACACAAAGAAGTTACCTCGTCCTTTATCTATGAAACTCAAGATTATAGGAAATGGCATTCATTGCAGCCTTTCTCTTCATGGTTCAATATGCTGTTTAGCAATTTTGAAAAGGATGGATCTCAAAAATTATCTTAAATTACCAGTTAGTCCTTTGGAACTGAGCATTTCCTCCCAAAGCTCCTGGGTGCTGATGTTAACCTACCATCAAAGAGAACAAAGGCTGTATTAGTGAGGGCATAGATGGGGAAATGATTTGATGTATTTACTCCAGATACCTACCTACTTCTCTCTCTCCCTCTGTCCCTCCCTTTCTCCCCAAAATAGGTACAAATACACAGCTCAAGCTGTGTTCTTTCCCCAACTGCCTTTCTCCTTTTCTCTCTTCCTGTCTCCATCTCTAGGAATCACCACTAACCTAAGAAAATCTCAATTTATATATATATATATATATATAGAGAGAGAGAGAGAGAGAGAGAGAGACAGAGAGAGAGAGACAGAGAGAGACAGAGAGAGAGAGAGACAGAGAGAGAGACAGAGAACACACAAGCACACACGCACGTGCATCGGTGAGCAGGAGAGGGGCAGAGAGAGAGGGGGAGACAGAGAATCCCACGAAGGCTCTGAGCTGTCAGCACAGAGCCCAGCTCAGGGCTTGATCCCAGGAACCATGAGATCATGACCTGAGTCAACACCAAGAGTCAGGCACTTAATGGTCTGAGCCATCCAGGCGCCCCTCAGTCAATTTTTTTTTTTTTTTTTTGGTAAATAAATGTTTAAATGTTTATTATTTATTTATCTTCATCTATTTTTTTAACTTTATTTTTTATTTTTTAGAAATTTACTTCCAAATTAGTTAGCATATAGTGCAACAATGATTTCAGGAGTAGATTCCTTAGTGTCCCTTACCCATTTAGCCCACCCCCCCTCCCACAACCCCTCCAGTAACCCTCTGTTTGTTCTCCATATTTATGAGTCTCTTCTGTTTTGTCCCCCTCCCTGTTTTTATATTATTTTTGTTTCCCTTCCCCCTCAGTCAACTTTTAAAAATAACTTTTTCTTGTTGCTTGTCCAAAAAACAACATATAGAATTGTATTGTGTCCATAAAATGTCCATAAATAGTACCATACTGTAGATATCTTTTGCAACTTTTGTGCTCACTCAAATCAAGTTTTAACATTTATGTAAATTTATACACAGAGAGGGATTCATTAATTTTTTTCTTTTTCTTTTTATGTGCTCTTGAGCTATAATTCATGTACAGTGAAATGCGCAGAACTAAAGAGTTACAGTTCACCGAGTTCAGGCAAATGCACTCACCCAGGTCACCACACCCCTATCACAATCCAGAACTTTCCCATCACCCCCAAAAGTTCCTCTGTCTCCTCCCAGTCACCCGTGCTCCCCATCCCAGGTGAACCCTGATCTGCTTTCTGTCACAGTACATTTGTCTCTTCTAAAGCCTCCTATAAATGGAATAATGCAGCATGTATGGTTTTGTGCTGGTTCCTCTTGGTGTATTTGGGGTGCATCTGTGTAGCTGCGTGCCAGTAGTTCATTTTTATTCTTGAGCATATTCCATCGTATGACTGTATTGTAATTTGCTTGAAGGACATTTGGGCTACGTCTAGTTTGGGGCCATTATAAACAAAGACTTACAACTTGTTACATCTTTTTGGGCTCATGTTCTCCTCTGTCCTCAGTAAGTAGATGCTCAAGGAGTGGCGTGGCTGGGACATAGGGCAAATGTATGTTCAGTTTAGTAAGAAACTGCCTGCGCTTTTCCCAAAGTGGTTGTACCCATTTTAAACTTTCATCAGCAACGTGTAAGAGTCCTGGTTGCTCCACATTCTCACCAAAATGTAGGACGTCATTCTTTTAAATTTTAGCCACACTAATGGTAATGTAGCAGTATCTCATGGTGGCTGTAGTTTCATTTCCCTGATGACTGATGGTGTTAAGCACTGTAAATTATTAGATAATGCTTATTAAAAAATAAGCATTTATTAAAATAAGCACTATTTAGTGTGCTTATCATTTATGTATCTTGAGAAATGCCCACTGGTCTGTCCATTTTCTTTATTGGACCGTTGGCCTTTGTATTATTTGATTGTAGAGAGTATCTATATCACAAAGATGCTCTTACATTCCAGAAGCTTTATAATTTAAGCTTTCACATTTAAGTCTGTGAGCTACCTGAAATTAATTTTTGTCTGGATTGTGAGGGAAGGATTGACGTTAATTTTATTTCCACGTAGAGGTACATTTGTTTCTGCAAAACTTTTATTTTTCTCATTAAATTGCTTTGGCATCTTTGTTGAAAAACAGTTGACTACATAAGCATGGGTTTATTTTGGACTTTATTCTGTTTCATTGACCTATTTTCTATTCTTTTGCCAACACCACCCTATTCTGATTACCATAACTTTGTAAAAAGTCTTCGAATCAGGCAGTGTGGGGCTTCCATATTTGTTCTTCTTTCTCAAGATTGTTTGGTTATTCTTGATCTTTCACTTTCCTGTATATATTTTAGAAATGTCCATTTCTACAAAAACTCCTGCAGATACTTTATATGGGATTGCACTGAATCAATTTGGAAAAAAGTAGATCTTAGCAACAACATTGAGTCTTCCAATCCACGAACATCATGCTTCTCATCACTTATTAAATCCTCCTTAATTTCTCAGGCAATGTTTTGTGCTCTTTGGGTGTATGTGTTTTGCACATCTTTTGCTAAATATATCCAAACATCAACATCAGAAATAATTAGCATTTGAATTTGTTGCCATTTCTTCACATTTTTCTCTTATCTATAAAGTATTCTAGTTTCCATCATAAATGAAATTCAAGGAGAAATACATATTATGTTATACATAGTACATTATTAATAGTGTACATTTTTATATAATGTCTTTATTTGGAAACAATTTCAAACTTATAGAAGATTTGCAAGGGCAGTATGAAGAACTTCTTGAGGGGCGTCTGGGTGGCTCAGTCAGTTAAGCCTCCAACTTTGGCTCAGGTCACAATCACACGGTTCATGAGTTTGAGCCCTGTGTCAGACTCTGTGCTGACAGCTCGGAGCCTGGAGCCTGCCTTGAGTTCTGTGTCTCCCTCTCTCTCTTCCCTTCCCCTGTTTGTGCTCTTTCTCTCTCTCTCTCAAAAATAAATAAACATTAAAATTTTTCAAAGGAACTTATTGAATTGTTTAAATTATTAAATAAGTTGAATTATTTTTAAATTACTTGAATTTAAATTACCAATCTGATATATCAAGATCCCTCAATACATTACCCTACATAACCACAATACAACCATCAAAGTCAGGAAATAAACACTGATATAGATTATTAATATAAAATCTTCAGATCCCATTCAGGTTTTACCAATCATCCCAATAATGTCCTGAATGGCAAAGGATCTCATTGGAATCATCTGCTGGATTAGTCTCTTTCAGTCAGGAAGAGTTCTTCAGTCTTTCCTTGATTTTCATGACCTTGACACTTGTGATGACTATGAGGGAATAATGTTGTAGAACGTCCCTCGGTTCGGACATGTTTGATGTTCCCTGATTAGGTCCAAGCTGTGCAGCTCTGGGTTGGTTGGAATTGGTTAGATGGGCTGGAGCATCAGAAAAGCAGAAGAGTGTTCTCTCATGGCATCCTATCAGGTGACACACAATTTCGATCTGCCCCCTTCTTGTTGATATTCACTTTAATCACTTAAGGTGGTCTGTGAGTCTTCTGCACTGTGAAATTATTCTCTTTCCCATTGTAATTAGTAAGTTTTGGTAGGGCTAATTTAAAACTATAAAAATTAAAAGACCATGACAATTACCACTCATTCTTAATATAGGTATGCTCAGGTCTTTGTCCCGTTAAAAGAGCTGGAAACATGTAATATTTGCAAACCTTTTACTAAAGATCCATCTTTCTTTTCTTCTTCTTTCTTCTTCCTTCCTTCCTTCCTTCCTTCCTTCCTTCCTTCCTTCCTTCCTTCCTTCCTTTCTTCTTCTTCTTCTTCTTCTTCTTCTTCTTCTTCTTCTTCTTCTTCTTC